AGAGTGACAGCCAGGGAACATGTGTCTTTGTTCTCCAGGTTTTTGATGACCGTGATGCGTTCATGTACGGAGCTCAGCCTATAAAAGCAACCACACATACATGTAGTGTAATGTAATGTGTGTGCGCTCGTTCACCTTTGAATCCACTCACTCCAAACATCGTATGACTTTTTCACCAGGGCATGAAATCCAGTGGCTCGTCGCCTGTGTGCTCTCACATGAGAAGATGTGGCTCTTTGTTACCAGATGCGATCTCTCGCATGTGAGAGGTTTTATGTAAACTTTGCAGGGTTTTTTTTCTCCATACATTACAATAAAAGTATAATCTAATCATGCAAATTGATCCCAAGGCAGGACCCAGTATTTTATTTTATTATTAACATTCAGGGTAAAGCAGGACGGCTACTTTGACTCAATGAGGCTAAAGTGAGACTCCGGCTGCACCGACCTGATGCATTAATGTGAAATGAAATTGTGTTTTCCTTTACTGCTCGCAGACAGACAGGTGCCAGTGTGTCCTGTACTCCTGGTGCAGAGAGCTGTATGGGCAGCAGTGGTGCTGACGGGGGAGTTCTCTCATTCAGGATGTTTAATGACTGGCCCAAATGCTCATGTTGGTTTTTAATCCATAAAGATCACCTCAAGCAACTTTGGAAACTAAATGTTAATTTCCTGGTGCAGAAACTAAAGGCAACGTCCAGAGAATACTCCGTGAGGACGAGGGAGGTGGTGGAAATATTTAGATACTCCCGCTCTCTTCCTTCGACTTTCTATTTCTTGCCATCTCTCCTCCCATGCTGGAGCTGACTCATTTGAACGCCAGGCCCCTAAGACTAGGATGTCCCAGTGGAATAAAACAGCACGGCTGTCTGTAGGAAGAGGAGAGATTGGGAAAGAGGAGCACGACGGTTTAAAAGCAAATCCATCGGGAAGTGAGGAGAGACGTCAGTGTCTGTGTCTGTGGTGGCCGCTCACCCAATTGGGCAAGAAAGGCCGGGGGGGGGGGGGGGTGGGAGGGGGGGTCCAGTAATCACACGGCAATCGTGTTATGAGAATCCTCAAACCACAACACACAGACCCTAAGCCAAACGTGCACAGTAACAAACACACACACATGCACACACACACACACACACACACACACTGATTCAGTCAGGCTTTAATGCAGCTATATTGCTTCAGGGAGAGAAACCAGAGAGCTGCTCAGTACTTCCAAGCTCAGAAGAGCATTTAAATCTGGCAGAGAGGCAAATGCGCTTCATGATGCTGGCAGACAACTTCATGACAGCAGACGGAGAAAGAAAAAATACTATAAAGGATGAATATAAACCCCTCGGATGGTCAAAAATCAAAGAAAGTCCAAACTCCAAACTCCAGTCCTGAAAGGACCATAAAAACCAGTAGTCTGAGAAAATGTACTCAATCCTGTACACATTACTTTTGGTGGTTTATGACTAAACTACCAACTATGACTCTATTCTCATGAATGTACAACTTTATACTGATTTTTCCCTCTTTTATTTTTGCTAATATTAAGTATGATTTGGGTAATTAATTTTTTTTTATCCTTAATCTGTCCCTGAAACTCAATCAAACTGTTTCACTTTGTTCCTACGATTTGTTAACGAACCTTTACACTTTATATGGTATTGTAGTGAAACCTGTCCTCCTATTATAACTAATCTAACCACATAGACTTGGGATTCAATAAAAAAAAAACCCGTTAGCTAACTTCAAATCTCAACAACAGTTTCCACCAACACGTTCTCCCCATTTAAACTGTTGGACATGCAGCCACGTGGGGGACAAACCTCACCTGTCCTAGAGCACCTGCCCCATAATCTACCCCACATGCTTTATTTTCTCCACCTAATGACTCCCTCACTGATCCAACTCCTATTCCCACCACCTACAAGCTTCTCCATCCAGAGTGTGACTAAAATACCTCGGTACGATTGACTGCAGTATTAGCATTTCCTCAGTTACACAAACAAATCGCTCCATCCTGGATGGCAGGATACAATACCATGTGCAGCCCACTAATCGCCCCCCCACTGGGAACAGTGTGTCATTGTGTGCCTTTTTTTAAGGCACTTATCTGCACACACAGCCCCTGCTCAGGATCATTAAAAAAGCCCACACAGCCAACGAAGGATTGAGGTAAGAGGGAGGGAGAGGGGGGAAACAGAGAGAGGGGAAGAAGAAGGTGAGGGCGAAATCCTGTCATTGTTCTGGGTTTAGTTGGGATCAACTCTAACCAGCAGTGATGTCTGTTCTGTTGTGAGGATATTGGTCATGTCGTCTCAGGTCAAGGGCGATGGGACAAAACAGTCGGCTGTGGTTCTGCAGCTAAAAGAGCAGGACACAGAGTGTCTCTACACCAGGTTGCTGCACGTGTGAAGCCCAAGTCCCAAAACGTCAAAGACTGGGATTGTGACAGTGTGACAGTTCAGTGCTGCACGCCAGAGCCTGCGGGTTGACGGTGCTGTTGCGGCTGGGGGGGGGGGGGGGACGGTGCTGTTGCGGCTGGTGGTGGGAGGAGTTGTTGTTGTGTTGTTGCAAGATACTCAAGAATCCAGAACATTTTCACAGCCTTCAGCCAGAGCTGTCACACCTCCTATGGTTCCTGTTCAAAGGACAGTGTATGTTGTCTTCACCCGGGAAGAAGTTTTAGGGCTGGTAAAATAAACTCAGGGAAGACGTTTGATACGAACGCCACTGGGCTAAACTAACGTAGAGATTATTTTGGGGACTGTCAATGTCATTTTGATAACGACATTTTGATCAAATGTTTACATTTTAATTATGTCAGGGTAGAAAAATTGCTGCAATCGTTGCCTTAACCTACGGTGAAATCAAAAATGTCATCACTTTGCCTTGTTGATTACCAAGCTACAGCTACAGTTTGTTACTCCTCCTGATAAATGATGAGATGTATAATCCAACCACATCTACTAAATAACCCCTGGCCATTTTGCTAATTAGGGATTCCCTGACAGCATGTGGTGAAAAGTGCTCAGGAGACGCTAATGCTAATGAGATGGTTGAATCATCTCCACTGGATCTGTTCAGAGGAATAACACATGTACTCCACTCCATGTAAACCATCATTTTTTCACTCACAAACCAGTGGTATTACTGCAAAAGTCTCAAAGTGTACCTTCTTCATCTTCACTCTCCTCTTCCTCTGAACAAATATAGTATAAATCCTCCTCTCTGTTCAAGTAACGGCAAGAAGTGGGTTTTTTTAAAGCTTGGAAATGCAAACTGAAAAGTTTTCTCAATTCTACTCTGTTACTGATGATATAAAAGCACACACACCCACACACACATATATAGTGTCAGTCAAAACGTACAAAAGCACAAAAAGCCTCTGCATCAAAAATAGTGCATTAAAGCCAGTTATTTTAAACGACACACGGCACTTCACTTTAACTCGGCATGAAAACTTTTCCTTCAAAGCCTCCATCTTTTCCTTGCTCTGCGCTGCGTCTCCTGAGAGTCAGACTTCACTTCATATCTGCTGTGTTAAACCTTGCAGAAAATGGGAAGACTTCGATACTTATTAGGGATGTCCGATAATATCGGCTGACCAAAATGTCGGCCTGATATTAGCATAATTATGTAATATCTGTAAGAATCATTATCATTTTTTTCCTCATAAATGAAAACCTAACACGTAAAGCCTGGTTGTTGCCAAACAATGTGTGATCTCAAAAAAAGTTTTGGGGACAAACGACTGTATATTAAAGTGAAAAACGCTAGATGGCAGCATTGCAGCTCATTTAATTAATCTATTTTAATAATCAGGGGATTGTATGCAGCATGCTGGTGCCAGCAACTCATACAGTGGTTTGTATAGATAAATAAGTAAACATTACCAGGCTATATCGGCTTGATTCTATCGGATTCGGCATATTGGATATCGGCATAAAACTTAATTTCATCCCTTCACATCCCTAAAACGTATAAACGTATATGTGGAAAACAGAAATGTTTGAATACAAATATAAAAAATACACAATAAAACAATCAGAAAATGGCAGCAGAGTAATGAGGACAGTTGGTATGTATCGTCCACGGAGGCCTTCATCAGTCTGGTTAGAGCAGCCATGTGGAGCAGTCCACTGGTGTAAATGTCACTGAACAAAACAACACATCCGTCTAGCTCTCGGACGACACATGTCGTATACCTGTCACTGACCTCTGACCTCTGTGGGTGCAGGGATACCACACTCCTTTGCATCAAGTTCATTCAGGTATGAAATTGTCACTGACAATCAATCAGGTCGGCCCGTGTGTCATCCCTGTGTTGACTTAATTTGCACACACATGGGCGAGTCACACCGTCGTTCTGGGACAGAGTGGACGGTTGACGTGACATGTCCTGGATTCACATCATCAACTCCCGAGAAAACAGAACCTGCCGTGGTCGATGACAAAAACAAACTTTAAGGAAAGGATCTACAGCGGCTGTGACCGGAGCGACAGGCGACAGCTGAACCAGGGACACTCCTGGTTCTGGATCAGTTATGAATTTGTTTGTCCCTGGCCTCCTGTCCATCTGTCCACAATGACAGACATTTACAGTGTGGTGGCCTTCAAAAGGTGGGTCCCAAAAGTGGCCAACCATCAAAGTGCATTTACTGTAGTAGAGTTCAGTGTTACTGAAGGCTACGCCATCGGAGTTCTGGGCGTAAGTGGAGAAGAACAAGCAGGATGACGCTACAAAAGCCATGTATCAGGACCCAGCTACTGCGCACAAATACTACAACTACACATACATTCAGGAATGTTTGTCTCATATAACAGACAGGAGTGGTTTTGTTGTTTACTGCACTTGTGTTGTGGGAATTCTGACTGAAAGTTAAGGCTGAGAGAACATTTTATGTTTAGACAATTCAGTTCAGACTTGTGTTTTAGGATGTTTTGAGGTCATATAATTCATTTTAGGTTTAAGATCCAATAATATGGCAACGCTTTATTTTAGCATAATGATCAAGTGTAACTGAGGTTGATTAAAGTAATGTTTGAGGACTGTGGGATTTTTATGTTGTTCTAAAAAAAATAAAAATAAAAAACAACCCAGAGACAATGACGTGTGTATTTTGTCTGTTTTCCTCGCGTTTCTCTCCTCGTCCTTCGTCTTGGACTCCCACAGTAACCGACGGTCATGACTTCAAAATTAAAATAACAGCGCCCTTGTTTTGTCTTAGTATTTAAAAAAAGTTTAATTTGCATCAGACCAGAACAGATTAAAAAACAACACGTAATTCCCTGTAGTTTTCACAGCCTCGCAGGCAGAAGGACTTTGGGTAAAGTGATAAAAAACGGATTCCACAAACAAAATGAAGTAAATGTGAACTATATTAATCACTCAAAGGCATATTTAGAGTGAAATACTGAGCATGTTTTTTCCGGGTTCCACGCTGACCCACGCCGCGCGGTGTCTTACCTTTCACAGCGAAGAGCAGCAGCAGGAGGACGCTGCACTGTTTCCAAGAGAAATCCATCGGTAGAAGGACGTTTGACGAAGCTGTCAGTGCAGAAAAGATTCTGGTGATGACTATGATGATGATGATGATGATGAAGACAGTCTGCTCAGTAAACACCAGCCGCTGGTTTCCAGCGGTGTTGAAGCACAGGCTGGACTCGGTGCACGCTCTTCACACAAACACAACTTCTGCACCACGATCCCTCCTCTCTCCCCTCCGTCCAGCCCTGCCTCACATGCCCCCCCCCCCTCCCACCCCGCTCACCTCTTCACTCTGCCCTGGGCAGGAGTCACAGCGACCTGATTCACACTGACTCACAGGTGATAAGTTTAGAATAATGAAATGGATTTGGCTTAAAGCCCGCCGGGGATCTGGAGCTCCACTGCAGAAATATCCATCCATCCATCCATCCGTCCATCCATCCATCCTGACCCACATATTACTCTCAGCAGTTATGACACAATTTTAAAAATTAATATTTCTTTATTTTAATTTCTCTACTACTTCTTATATCAGACTTAAAAACAAATACAAACTTTTTATGTTTTTTATATAAAGTGTATAATGACTGATGTGTTTTTAAAAAGACAACAGAATACTTGTACAGTATATTTCCAGTATTCACATATGTGAGAAAACACAGTACAAACACACGCTTCATAGAAAAGGAGTACACCTTTAAACAAGTACAGCAGGAGTAGAGAGTAGAGAGTGTTATTCTGTTTCTCTCGGGGTGGATAATGCAGATTGACATCCAGGACGTATCACATGAAAACAGACTGTGTGTTGGGTCTGTGTCTGCCTTGCCTAAAGGCACATTATGTCAGCAGCCAAAAGGTTGGAGACAACTAGAACAGCTCATTCCCTAATTTTAGGCTCGATTAGTTTAGTGACAGAAGAGTGAAGTCGACCAAGGTCGTTCTTCTTCAGAGTCAAGAGAAGAAATCTGTAGTGAATAAGTGTCAGGGAATAAAGAAAAGGAAGAGAGGGAAACAAGAGGAGGGGAGAGTGTGAAGTGGGTGTGAATAAAAAGAGTGGAGATGAAAGGTTGAGGGGTGGGAGGAAAGGGGAGGGAGATGAAAGGTTGAGGGGTGGGAGGAAATGGGAGGGGAAGAGAAGAGAAGACAAGAGAAGAGAGGAGAACCTTCCTGTTGCATTTTTTTTTCCACACCAACACTTTAATCACAGTACATCCACTGACAAAGGACAGATAGAAAGTACGAGAACGACACACACTGTAAAGTACACACATATTCGTGACATTTCTCTCTCTCTCTTTCACTCACTCACACACACACAGAGAGAGAAATCCTAAAGGTATTTTCCATGGTACAAATGTCATCCTGTAACCTTTACTTGTTTTTATTGAATATTCCCACTTTGACACATGTGCTTCACATCCATTTATTTTTTATTATTTTATTCCTGTACTGCAGTGAAGGCTGGTCGTTGTTTTATATGTTTTTGTTTTTGGAATAATACTGTTCTTTTTTATGTATTCTGCAAAAGGTAAAGTGAAAAGTCTGAAGTGGGATTTAAACACCTCACATGTGTACGTTTGATATCCAACAACTAATGATGAAAGAACACTGAATTCTGGGGGAAAAAATACTCAGAAACGTGTCTAATTTGTTTAATGGAGAGTGAGAGAATCTGGTGGGCCAGATTACAGAGTATTTGTCACTCCAAGGGGACTGCAGTATTTACTCAAATGTTGTATAAATATATAAAAGTCCTTTTCAGCAGAACTCTTCAGCTGGACGGATCTCTCACTTCAAGGAGCGGATCAGGTTTTTCTTCTTCTTCGTCTAATCACGTTACTGTCACAAACTTGTCACTCAGCGTGACGAGACCTTCACCTTTTTCCAACCTGAAGTCTGGTGTTGCAGCATATCCGATCCTCCCGTTCCATTATTGAACAGGTTGTGTCTGGGGGAAAAGTTAGCGCTGACTTCACGCTTTCACCTACAGGTGTCTCCTTCTTAATTCATTTAAAGATTCACTCATACATATTTATGGCATCACTTAATCAAACACTTTTTATTTCATTTTTTTTCTGCTCGTAAAATCCAACGTATTACTAGGTTGATACTCTCAGTGACCAAAGTTTTACTCTAACTGCTGCTGTACTTCCACCTGTTGTAATCGTGGGTGTACGGTTATGAACAGAAACTTCTGGAAACACTCTAAATGTGCTCTGTTTAACCAGACATCAGATCAGATCATAAATGACCCCCCCCTCCACGCTCTCTTCCCATGGATTCCTTTTTCTTTCTGCCTCGTCTAATCCCGGCACTTCCAGCAGCCACGCTGCGCCAAGCTCTCAGCGTCCCCTCTCTCCCACAGCTCATCCTGCTCTGTCAGTCACGCCACACTGTGTGACCCCACTCAACCCTCCAGCTCCCACATCCTTAAACTCATTTTCTGCCCCTGTTGCGTCCCTGCTCTGTCTGCTCCCCCTTCTCCCTCACACACACACGAACACAGCAGAGTTTACCTCCGACTCCACAGCTCATCCTGCTCCAGTCAGTCTGATTGGTCACACCGTGGCCTGTTGCAGCCAGCAGCGACTAATTAAAGTCTCCTCTCAGTTATCTGATTAAAGTCCTCTGCTGATAATTAAACTGTCATCTCTCTTCACTGTTACCATAAACTGTAAAACTGTATCGAACGCCCTCTCACTCTCTCTTTCTCTCTCTCTCTCTCACACACACACACACACACACCAACACCCAGTGATCTGAGAGTGAAAACTTTAGATCCTTAATTTGTGTTCACTGTTTACATAATTATATTTTATATCGTGTTTTGGTTCTGTTTTAAAAAAAAAAAACTGTGGTTGGATTTTACAAAAATATCCATTCCATTGTGAGCATGTAGTAGAACTGTATAGCTGTTTTTGAACTATGTAAAGTTATTTGAAAGTATTATGTACAAACATGGTGATAATGATATGAAGTACGTTTACACTTGTAAAAATTATGTACAAACATGGTGATAATGATAGGAAGTACGTTTACACTTCCATCAAAGAAGAAACTTTATTAATTCAAATCTCATATTGTGTGTTTATTGTTTGCTTTCCCACTGATGTATGTTGCAATGTATTTGTATTGTTCTATCAGACATATACAGTAATGACTGATGGGACAGAGTGCTGTAATTATGAACCACATATTGATTTATTGACCAAATGTATTAACCTATATATGTATTTTAAACATGATTCACAGTAATGACTACAATCCACCAAATCTGTGAGGTCAAATTTGTTGAGTCATACATTTTCATATTTCCCCTCAAATTTTTCTATAATAATAATTCAACCGTTTGACGTAGTAGTGAAACACAACCATTGTCCTGATGACAAACCATAATATGTTGCAGCAAAGACTTGGGTAGGTTCTGGGTGCCGTAGTTTTTTAGTAAGAGACGACGTGTTCTGTTCTGAGACATTCATTGCAGCAATGTCACAGAGCGCCCCCTGGACACATTTTAAATCCCTGTAAAGTGCTCAGATCTCAGCTTAGCGTCTTGTGCCCTCGTCACCGCTGCTCAGTGGATCAGCGGCTCAGAGGCAGTAATGTACTTCATAAATATCGACCTGGGAGCTGAAATGGCAGGTATAAATCCTACAGGTATAAATCCCAATGTCTTGTGGAGGATAATGGGGGAGATGGACGGCAGCTACAGGAAACAGATCATCCTGCTGACACTCACCAGGCTGCAGATAAAAGGTCTGAATACAGCAGGGCACACAGTCAGCTTTTGTGTACGATGATCTTTGACCTTGAGGTTACCTTTCCATCTTTGACTGTCGGAATAGAAAAAAATAATTTAAATATCTTTGATCGGGGTTTGACATTGGTTTTAGAGAAAACAACATTTTTTATATTTGTATATATGTATCGCAATGTGTTTTTAGTTTGCCTTAGAGCAGGCATGGGCAAAAAGTGTCAAACTCACACCCTACTGACACGTCAGGTTTAGTCGTGGTGGTAATACGAGTCCAAGCAAAGTGCAAAGTCAACACTTTCCTACTGAAACTGGAAATCATGTAAGTTCGTGTCCCTTCCCACTCATGTCTCCACAAATGTTCAGCGACAGATACTGACGGTGTCAAGTGTATTTCTGGAAACTGCCGGAATCCACACCGATTCAAAAAGAGATACAAGACTATGGTTTATTTCAAAGTTTTACGTGTGAAGATTTCTTTAAGGAAATGTCGTTGGTTATGAGATTTTCAGATGTGTGTGTTGTGTACGTCAACTTCATTAGCCCATCCCCTCACATGATCAACGTTTTAATGAAAATTGATGCAGACGTCAAGTGTGTGATTTATAAGAGAAGGTGGATCAGCAAAGAAGATAATGAGATCAATGAATTGAACTTAATTCAAAGGCTGTCGATACACAAGTAGGATTAAGTCAAAGTCAACGCTCCACGTGTGTGTGTTTTACATTTGACAAACTCAAACCTATCTGCGCATCTCGAACGTTCTTGTTAATTTTTCACCAGAATTACTCATTTAATTAACAATTCCTAAAAAGATGGAATTATTGACTGAACCCTGATGGTTCTATCATGAAACACATTTTATTACCCAGATAGAAAATGAACATTTACATGACAAAACCAGCCAGTGAAAAAATGAATAAAGGGAGAGATACTGTTTAATTCATTTATTTAAAAAAAAGGATTCGACTCTGCTGCTATAAGTACATTAACAGACAAGTGCAGTGAATGGTTATAAGTTATAAGTTATTCATGAGCCATTTTGAAATAACTGGGAAATATATATATATAGTATGATAGAAGACATAGTGAGTCAATGAGGTCACACCAGTGAACGACTGCAGTTGGTATAAAGTGAATGAGTCGATGAGTTATTGCTTGTTTTTGACCTGATGACAACAGTGATGTGGTCATTATTCAAGGTTGTTACCTTCTAGCATTTTCATAACAACTTCCACTCATTCATTTTGGCCTTGGATTTGTTTGTGTTTACGGTGAACTAAGGCTAACAACACTGATCCAATGTAGTGTTATGTAAACAGGCCAAGACTTTGACCAATCTGTGCCTTTTCTCCCTCTGATTTCCAAGCCATATTCCTGCAGCTCAGCCCCTTTAAAATGATTTTTTTTTTAAATCAATGAAAATGTCATGGTGAAGGATGAAACCTTGGAAGAAAAGAAGAACTGGTCTGGAGGGGAGCAGGTGTGGTGGTGTATTAGGGGCTAAAGTGCATCAGAATATGGTGAGTGACCTGTGAGGCAAACATGTCAGGATATGTGTTACAGTTCCATCAACGCTCAGACTGTAAGGTTTGGGAGTCAAATCCAAAGTCCTGATCAGGTTCAGATGGATGGCCATCGTCGTCTCTGGCTGTTAGGCCTCACTGTGGTCCAGGTCATCCACTACGGGAGTGTTGTAGCTCTGGAACAAGGGCTGCATGAAGAGGCCGAGCGTCCCCACCACACACACACACACAAAGATCCACAGGAAGAGGCGGTCGATCACCATGGCCACGTACTTCCAGTCTTCAATAATCTGGAGGAAAATTATAATCTCGTTATACAGTTTAATGAATGCCGTCCTACAGTCACACCAACAGATTAAAGACAATAAATAATATAATAAGTAAAATATGGTGGAAATTTTCATGTAAATTCTAGGCTTTCAAGGTGAAAATGGTTCGGAACAAATTTCATCGAAGGATCTTAAACAAAGCAGCTCTGAATTATTTCCATCTGTTTTTATTTTCTCCCTGTAGATGAGTGAGGTCCAAAAAAACATTAAACTTCCAATCCATTTTCTTTGCTCTCACCCCGTCTAAATCCAATCTGCTCACTGACACAAAAGCTTTGTGCCCCTAGGGAGGAACACCCCCCACTTTGAGAACCGCTTTCTTTAACATAAAAACTGTTGACGCTACATTTTTACAATAAATATTGACAACATGTGTTTCCTAACATAATCTTCATTCTATTAAATAACTGTTATTAATGTTTTGCTCTCAGGCCTGAGCTAATGCTTCTGGGAAGTGAATGCTGATGTCAGCGAGCTCACCTGCTCAGGAAGAAGATAACATCAAGCTAACATCATGATGGTATATTATGGTATGTATAGGCTCTGACAGCATGTTAGGAAGTGAGGATGTTCTTCGCTCTCACCCGACAGCACAGTTCATATTAACTAACTCTGAGGCATAAAATTGTCCTGACAATACAGAAAAACCAGAGCCGATCTTATCAGGCTCCATCTTCCAAACACTTACCCCTTCATCATCATCCTCACTCTTCATCTTCTCAGCGATGTAGCGAACGCCGTCCACTGCGTCCTCCACATCAATGTGGCTTTTGAGCGTCATCCTCCTCCTGAACTCCGTGTTTTCTGAGAAGTTGCTGACCTTCCAGCCATAGTGTTTGGCTGATTCCTCGTTGACATAAAAGGATGAGGAAGAATCTGAGAGTCCCCCACCGCTCACAGCCCCCCCCTCCAGTCCACACGGCCTCTGATCCGAGTACAACTGCTGCTGGTGCTTTTTCCGGAACTTTTCCCGAATATTAGAACTGCCGGGTCTGCGCATGAACAAATATGAGGGGAGTTGGTGCAGGAAGACACGCTTGACCCAGGGTGGCATGGTGTGAGTGCTGGGTGAGCGATGGTGGATGTTGAGCACACAAACACTGGTGACTATAGAGAAGGTGACCAGGACCATGGTGAACATGAGGTATTTGCCGATCAGAGGAACTGCTAAAGACGTGGGCGGTACGATCTTTGAGATCAGGAGTAAAAACACAGTTAAGGCCAGAAGAACGGAGATGCACAGAGTCATCTTCTCACCACAGTCTGAAGGCAGGTAGAAGACCAGAATGGCCAGAGACGTGATCAGAATACAGGGAATGATCAGGTTGATGGTGTAGAACAGAGGTTTCCTCTTGATGATGAAGTCATAGGTGATGTCCAGGTACCTGATGTCATCGGGGTCTTCGTTCTTTCGGCCCGGCAGTGAAACGATGTCCCACTCACCACTGGGCTTGAAGTCGTCACGCGAGGCGAAGTCGCTGAGTAAGATCAGATCGATCTCCGTGTGATCGTAGGTCCAAGAGCGAAACTTGAGCGTGCAGTTCTGCTGGTCGAACGGGAAATCGCGGACTTCGATTTTACAGGCCGACTTGTAGATGGCCGGCGGGAGCCAGGCCACCTCACCGTTGTTGGAGACCACGGCATTGGAGTAGAAGGAGACCTCATAGGTCCCATCAGCACTGATGATGTCACAAGGAGGAATAAAGAGATTTACATTTTAAATGTCTACATTACCAAAACATTTATTTAATATATGTCATCCAAAAATACATATTCAGTCAACTTTTGCTGGGTTCAACCTCCTACGACCAAACTTTAACTTCATGACTGTGTAAATTATCCAAAGGAATATATGAGCAGCTGATGAAGAGCGGAGTAAACCGAACTCACAAATGAATATTAATGACATACAGTAAGTGGTTCAAAGGAGAGAAAACGTTTGAAAGCAGCTTCTAATTACATCCATTTATGAAGATTACCGACCTGCTGCACGTTTTTATTGCTGCTTTAAGGCTTTAATCTCCTCAATAATACAGAGTGTCAGGTTACAGTGGTCACAGTGGTCACACTGTGCACACACGTTCATTTAATTATTATTACTGGCAGCCCAGTGAGTCAGACCGCAGCCACACTGGATCTTTTTTTTAATCACAGTTTTTGGCTCATTTCAGGAAGTAGTACTAGTGATACATGGTAGTAGTATGTAGTTTTACTTAGCTGTCTCAAATTTGAATAAAAATTTTTTAATTTTTTTATTTTTTAAAACACCGGGGTCATAAATGTGATGAACAAATCTGGAGCAGATAAATCGACCATCATCAAAGTACTCGTAAGTTAAAGGTCACTTTCTGAGATCAAAACAATATTTAATCCAGGGTTCTTTGAGAACCTTCCTAAACCAAACTAAACTTTCAAAAGCTTTGGACGAGACTGAATCACCTGGAGCTTCGGATCAGCTGAAACAATGATGATGAAATAGTTAGTATTCACTTGGTAACGGACGTGGCATTCAAACAGAAACCACAAAATCTTCTCCACAGTGACTATCCAGGATGACAGAGTACTCAGTGTACGATGAATAATGGCTGTCATTACGCTTCTGCAGAGGTGAAAGACACATGGGGGTGGGAGGGCTAAGTGGGGGTTGAAATTCATGCCCAGCATCTCATCGTCGTTGCTCAGCAGCGAGCCTCACTCCAGCAACACGGCACCAACTTCCCTTTACCACAGATCTGCTGAGACAGACCTTTTTCTCCATCTAACCGTCGCTGTCAGTGATGCATTATAGATACGTGGTCCACCAGTTATAAAGTAGGTCAGGAATCCAACCATCACCCTCGGTCTCTGATGCTTTCAGGCTACTGTGAATATGCAGCTGAATTAAAAATGTAGAGAGCACACCTGCTCCCTGCAGCCTCTGGCCCCCGCCCCCCATACTGACCACACTCCTTTACTGTCCCTGTGATTATGTCGTTTAAACCATCACGCTCTCTTAGAGGTTTTCAGCTGATCAGCGGTCTCTGCTCCTTAAAGTTTCATGACTACAAGCTTTGGTGTAAACAGAGGGGAAAACACTGCTGTTCATGTGAGAGAAGCTCCAAGAGCAGAGCCGTGAAACCGAGTCACGCTCAGGTTTAGAGCTAATGATATGAAACGTGTGAAGGAGACGATAAATAGTTGAAAATCTATTTTGTTTTTTTTTAATTTATCCGTGTAGAGCTAATGATATGAAACGTGTGAAGAAGACGATAAATAGTTGAAAATCTTTTTTTTTTTAATTCATCCGTTTATCGAGGATAGCCAGTCAAGAGTGAGCAATCCTAGTGGACACTGAGTGAACAGCAGGGAATAGCTTCCAATACAGTTGACAGACGGTTCAGAAAAAAGGGGAATATAAATTAAAGATTTGTAAAGTGACAGGTTATTAAAAAACTTGGATGTTAAAAAAAAGTTTGCATAAAAAATAAACGTACTTATTGTAGAGCACGATATCTGGAAGCCAGATGTGTTGTGACGGGAGCCGGATTTTCTTTATCCCTTCGTACTGTGCAGGATCCCACATTAACCTGTAGTCGTTCCACACCTGCAGCAGAAACGGATGAGTTGAAAAGTCACGTGAATACAGGCGTGTTAGTGAAAACCCTTTTATGGGACATGAAAAATATTTGTGTCGACACAAACCTGTGTGAGCCAACAGTTGGTGGTCATTATCTGCTCCCTCTCGTTCTGAAACACAGACACAGATGGTTCGTACTGTACGGCTGCAGCAGCGGGACAGGTTGTTATCATTGAACATGAGAAGCCCATACGGAGACATGGATTTTTTGCTCACCACGTTAATCAGCTGAGCGAGGGACACCTGGATATAAATGGTGACCTGCTGGCTGTTGTTGACGGCTGGTCTGATCAGCTTGTTGTAGCGATCTGGAGACAACAGATGACTGACCAGGCGCTCCTCTACGTCTGCACACAACGCAGCTGCAAACACACACAGAGACACAATATATGTAGAAAAATATATATATATCCTGTTGTCATGAAAAGGTGTGCTCAACATATGGTCACTCTACATTAACCTCCACGAGGCCACCGTGTAAGCAGCCATGACATGACATGACACTAAACACCTGAGGGAGGTTTGAAACCACAGCACTGTGTCTGTCAGGATTAGACGGCGAGAGGAGGGAGGTACATGAGACACACAAACAAACACACACTGACACACACATTGTAACTGTAAAATATAAAAAAACTATTTTATACATTTGACTTTTTAAATTTACAAAATGTTTTTATTTTTTATTAAATAACTTGTTTTTACCATTAGTTGATGTTTTAGTTGTGATGTGTTTTTCTAGAGAAAATGTTGGAGATACAACTACAGTAGACTGAAGTCTGACTGATGTCACACAGATTCAATGTGAAAGGAATTTTTTAAAACATACTGTTGTTGACCACTAACGGCAGGCAGGTGAGTGTAAAATGTGTGTGAGGCTGTAAGTAGACCAAGGAGGACCAATAGCACACACACCTGAAGCTTACACACATCCTCACTTTACTGCACTTTCCACAAGTCAATAATTTATCATGGCTATAATACTGTTGACGTCATCTCTCAGGACGGCGACTCAGACACAAAAGATTGTTTCAAGTCAATTTCAATCAGAAAAAACAAAAACTGACGGGACAGCAAATCTGTCCTGCTCTTTTTATTGCTTTTTTTCACTTAATTCATGTCATAAAGACTTGTCGCTGAACACATTAACACTTTTGTCACAGTGTTGGCTGATATCATCGACGCTCCCAATGTGGCAGAGACTGTGGTGATGACGTACAGACTTTTATAATGTTAAGAAGTGAAGAGTTTCTTAATCTGTAATCGCTGCAGAATCTGCTTCTTGTGATCTATGTTCTGTATAGTAAACAATAATAATAATAATAAGAACAGCAGGAGGAAAGGACATGTTCCTTAGAACAGAAAAAAGTGAAAGGTCAGAAAGGTTAAAAAAGGGTTAGACAATGACTGACAAAGTCCGTCTGATGCATTATTGTAGGAAGATGATGGATATAAGCGGAGTCACGCACTCAGCATCAGCATCCTCCTTCAGCCTTCTATTACATGTGGTTAGTGAAGGTGACAATTTTACGAGAACAGTAACCACAAGGGAAGGACCCGTAGTTAGCCAGCGCCTCAGCTGATGGGTCCTTCCCAGGCCAGCCTGTCTGGCCTGTCAGAAATTATTTCATTATAGACATGTCCCAGAGCGTCATTCAGGGCACAGTTCAACCCACAGCGACTAATTAAATCCGTCAAACGTTTGGTTTGTTGACTGAGAGAAAACGATGTGCGGGGAAGTCGTGTCAGCACCACGAACAGCTCTCTACCGGGTCATCTGCAGTCTCTGTTTCAGCACCACGAACAGCTCTCTACCGGGTCATCTCTAGTCTCTGTTTCAGCACCACGAACAGCTCTCTGCCGGGTCATCTCCAGTCTCTGTTTCAGCATCACGAACAGCTCCACATTTTTACAGTAGTCACTGATTGAAACTGGGAGACGACTTCTGCACAGTACATGTCACATGACGTCAGTGTTCAGGTTCAGCATTTCAACACAGGCACAGACAGGGCCACACAGTATGTGCGTGTGCGTGCGTGTGTATAGAGTTGAAGCCATGATGTCCAGCTGCCTAATCAGCAGTAAGAAAACCACAGTGACAAATGAGTCAAGTCTAATACTGAATGCTATGTTAAATTACAATCTACGACAAATATCACAAACACGATATTAAAATTAAATTCCTGTTTAATCCCGCGTGTCTGATTGTCACCGAATCACGTGTTTAAACATTTCACTACATTTATTTTCTTCTCCAATAATGTAATTTTTAAAAAATATATATTTTTATGACTAACAGACATTTCAACTAAACACTAATAATGACGTCACAGTAGTGTTTTAAGCTACAAATTGATTAAAATGCTGTTGAACAGCGCAGATGTGTGCTGTTCTACAGCCAAGAGATGTTCCACTAAAGAACCCCGCTGTCCTGCCACAGGAGTATCTGACAGAAAGACACTCACCTGACACACTGAGAACCAGCAGAGTCATCACTAATTTTACCGGGACTCCCATCGCTGCTGCCCTCCTGTCCGACAGGCAGCACAGGAAAACTTCCAGATTTAGTTCTGTCTTTCTTCTTCCTGTCTTGAGCTGTAAATGAATGGAGAATGTGGCCAAAACAGAAAAGGGTAAAACACGCTGGTTATGGTGATCGTTTCATAGCAGGGAATCCCGCTGCGGCCACTGAGGCTGTGGAGCGTGGACAGAGTGAGGAGCAGTGACTGCTGTCTGAGCGCTGAGCTGAGGAGCTGCACTGGCTCAGAGCGCTCCGACCTCCGCCGCTGGACCCGCAGCTGTGCGTACAGAAAAAACAAAACATCAGTTTATGACTCTGGGCAAACCGGGGAGAAGCCGATGGTGTTGTCATCATTCTTCAGAAGATTCGAGCGCTTTAGTCTCTGTGCGGCGCTGGCGTCAGTTTCGATTCCTGTCGTCTTGATTGACATGTTAAACACGTGCGATATCAAACAGGAAGTACCGGGACAGGGAATTTCCACCAGGAAGACGGAGGACTGAAACCAACATGTCCACTCAAATATTAATGCGATAATGTCTTCATAGTTTATTGTTGTTTTAAATGTGATCCTATTTAATGGAAAATAACCTTAAACGCAATTGACCAAGAGAAAGTTTGGTTGATGGTGTACAGGGGAGCAGGAGGTGATGTGGCGGTCATGATGTCGGTCAAAGGAAGCAAGAAAACCCTGTGGGCATGGAGACCTATTATTTGATAGAGACACATTTTAGGTCCTGCAGATGTAACAGTGTTCATCACTGTGGTTCTGTTATACCGAGCGTCAGGAATGACATTCATTCTTACCAGGGAAATATTTACTGATCAAATAATTTAGGGATGTCAATATTAGCATTTTGCGATATCTGTAAGAATTGTTAAATGTTTTTCCTCTGATATCCTGTAAGAATTGTTAAATGTTTTTCCTCCGATATCGAAAACCCTATAACACAATGGCTGGGTTTTGCGAAATGATGTGTGCCTTAAAAATAGTTTGACAAAGCAGTGACAAACCAGTCAGATGCCTCAGTGCTCTGAACAACTGTTATTGAAATACAATTCATTCTAAACTCCTTTATCGCTCTCAAACTAGCTTCTCCAAAAACACCTTTTCCTCCTGTCACACTCTCCTTACTTTATCTTCCTCATACACACACACACACTCTCAGCATGCCTGCTCACCCCCACTCACATACCCATAACTGTTAACTTGATAACGATAAAAAAAAACCTATAGTCACTGGATGGCAGCATTGTAGCCTATTTTATTAATCTATATTGATAATCAGGGGATTGTATTGTTAAAACGTTTTATTAACCTTAGTTAGCAGGCAACACTTAACTACCACCACTGCCCCGCTGTATTGATATCGGTTGATATCGGAAATCAGAAATTAAGTGTTCAACGTTATCGGTATATCAGACATGGGCAAAAAGTTCATATCGAACATCCCTAAAATAAATGAATTAATAAAAGGTGAAGTAAAGATGTGTAAACAAACACAAACCTTTACGCTAACGCTTCCATACACGCACAAGAAACAAGATTAAACCCTACTCAGTGGTGCAGGTGCAGCTGTATTATGTTACCTTCACATCACTTCTTGTTAGAGCCACTGCGGCAACATGTGAACATCTGCCTCCAAAAAAACCACCGTGGTCTCTGCTAATGAACGTTATCACTGCTCCCTAAAAGCAACGGAGAGGAGCAGAGGGGAGATTTAATTTAATCTGCCCCACTTAGTGCACAGTGGGGTGTAAAAAGTGCACACACACACATACACATACATGAGTGAAAAAATAGGCATGATACTGATCCAGACCAGACGCTGCTAAATATTATTATTGTTTACTATACAGAACATAGATCACATGAAGCAGATTCTAAAGAGAAATTATATTTTTTTTTAATTTAAAATTCACAATAGGGCTTTTGTGGCGTTTTATCTCATCTCAACCTAATGTGTCTAAAGGTGAATTGAATTTTCCATTGAAATGTAGAAACCAGAAAAACCCACACAAGGTTAGTACAAATATCAGAAAAATCAGTAACAGTAAGTTATAGGATCTGTAATTGATTTAAGGACATTTTCAGTGTGATCCCATTTAGAGGAAAATACAATCACAAATATGAGATCACATATATGATCAAAAGAAACTTCTTTCTGAGCTCCACACCAGGACTCGTTTTTGTTGTAGTAAAATATATATTTTTTTAAATGTCACTTAGTGTGAGTGTTACAGATCTGAAGTGTATTTTTGTATTTCATATTTGCATAATCTTTCATCACTTCACTTCCTGCAGCCATTGTTTCTGATGCCACTAAAGCCTCGCAAGTATGCACTGAACACACACTATCATCAGTTCACTGTGTGTGTGCGTGTGTGTTCTCTCCGCAGACAAACACACACTCTCCACTCAGTCTCCTCCTCCCTCCTGGGAGTAAAAACAAACACACGACATCTACATATGTCTCCCAGCAGATGTGTCATCCTTCAGTATTTCATTTAAATACGTTAAGTTTGTCTAGTTTTCATCAATCTCTCACCCTTCCCTCTGCCTCCTGACTGAGCCTCTCTGCCTGCGGGCGACGACGGTCACAGTCTCACTGAGGTGGTCCATTAGCCCGTTTCTTTAATCTCATTATAATTTAACGTCACTGGAGGACATTTGTGTCTTTCTAGGCACTTGGCTAGTACGCCGTCCCAGGATCCTGGACCAGGTGTCTATCTTTAGCTCGGTGTTGTACTATAATATAAATAATGATGCTGTGTACTTTGTGAACGCAGGGAAATATGTCTGTGGCTCAGTGCTGAGCTGCTTAATGCTTCAAGATACAAAAAGTCCAGTGTGTGAATTTGTACAAAATTGCTCATGTAAATCCTGTTTCCAGAAACATTGGTAGGTTTTCCTGAATTGGCCTTTAAAACTAAAATCTGAAAATGGGTGATGAAAAATTATTATTATTTTCTAGGAAAAAGCTTCAGAAAAACCTTGGCAGTTTTTTGGCACAAAAATTGGTAACAGAGTATATTGCATGCAACTGTAGACAGGGCTAACTATTTCTTCTGCAGTGGTTCCCAAAGTAGGGGGCGGCACTACCTATTTGATACGGAGCTATTGCAGGGGAGGAGAAGCCAAGATAAGTAAGGGAGATTTGATGGAATATCTGTGTATGTGCACATGTGGGAGGTGGGCGGCAGTATTTCTACCCACAACCAGATGAGGTGGGGGTGGGTGAAGGATTAGCCTTATCAATATCCTGCATGCTTTAAGACACTAAAGAAAAGCCAAGTGAACCAATGGTTACCTAGAGAGAAGTTTGTTTATGACGACAAAAACAGTTTGTTTAAAGAAAATAAAATGTTTTTCATCCAATTTACTTGGTGAACAAAGACGTAGGGGTTTATCATGTCGACCCTGTCTCAGACCCAACCTAAATGTTTTGAAAATACATTTGGAATCTTATCATGGTGGAAGTTATTTTAAATGTTCTGACGGAGCCCAGAGCCTGGGAGCGTGTCTTCAAACAGCCTCGGTGTCCCTGCTGCTCTGCCATATCTGACTGATTTGCCTCTGAAGTGGAAGGAGATGGGTTTCTGTGAGAGCCCCCCCTTCAACCCCCGCCCCACAGTTTGCCTCCAAAATACTTCTGAAAGTCTAAGAGAGGGCTAAGTGCTCTCTCAGTTTCAGTTTCAGTCACACTGTCCTTATCTTAGCAGGATTGGTGAAATCCTGAAAGGACTTGGTGCAGTGTAACCTCTGCAGAAAAATCCGCCTCAGAGCAAAAAGATTTCAACCATATGAAGGCAAGTATGTAGCGAAGGTCTATTAAATTTTTAAAGTGTCCACTCAGCGTGAATGCGGGTGCATGTGCAGGACGGTGCGCACATGCATGGCTGATTTGTCTTCCTTGCAGTGCCCTCCTCTGCTCAAAGCCTCTCATGTCAACTTCACTGCAGGCCGAGAAGATTCAGCAGCGGCAACAACAGTCTGACAGCACAGAGCCACACATGCACACACAGTGGAGAGGAAATGAGACAGTGCTCCACTGTCACGCTCCCTGCCCAGAGGTGATGAAGGAGGATGAAGACGAGGAGGAGAAATGGCAGCAGAATGACGTTTGTGACAATTAAAGTTAGAATTGTAGGAAATGTCAGATTTTACTGGTGAAAATATATGTGCAGATATATTTGTCTGACTTTTTTATTGCTTGTTTATTGTCATTAGAGCCAATGTTTTTGTGATGACTTTATGTCATATTTGGTTATTCTTTTGTCAATTCTTGTTGAATATATAATATATTCATTTATTAGCAAAATGTATAATACTAAAAACAGATTCATAGCTATTTTATATACATTATTGACACCGTGTTATTGGCTAACATTTAGATGTATTTGTTACATCAGCTAACTAATTTTATTTCACCTGCTCTCGTTTGGTAAAAATGGGATTTTTTTTTTTTTTTTTGGTGTTTTGCCTTTTATTTCTTAAATTAATTTGTTTGTATTTCTTTTAGTTAAGGTTTGGGAATTTGGTCTTTTCATTTCTGTTTTCGTAAAGCTAATATTGTGGAAAAAAGCAGAGCCCTAGCCATTTTTGTGTAAGTAACATAATTGTAGCAGCTGGTTTTCTGGTCATTTTGCCTGATTGAATTTGCCAAAGGTTTATATTTAATTTTCTTGGTGTGTTTGTGACAGTGTGTGTTGGTCAACGTGTGTTCAGATTCAGGTGTTGACTTACATTTTACCCTTTACATTTCCAGGTGCATTCACATGAACACGGCTGCTTCTCTACTCCACAGTCTTCTCTCCACAGCACTGGACTGGACTCTCAGCTCCACCAAAACTAAATCTCTCCGCTTTCACTACTGAGCCATGACTAATTGAAGTAAAGTGGAGATGAGTGGCTTCAGAGGCCTCAAGTTTACTTTATTTCAACTAAAATAATATGGGGAAAACAAGAACAGATGGTCAAAACAGAAAGAGCTTTGGGGAAAGAAGATGAACTCCAGATGAGATGCATTTCTGACAGTGTTGACCTGCATCTGGCACATTTAGAAGTAAAGTTAGGATCTACTTCAACATCCGACCACCTCACAGGAAATATTCCACATAAGTAGATCGCAATAAAAAATCTGCTGAGAGACGTCTGGACATGATGATGTTGGACATGGACAGAGACAAGAAAGTTTCATGGATTCACTGAGGGCAAATATACAGTATATCGATGGAGACAGACGCCCCCCTGTGGTGACCTCTGCAGGTCAGAGCTCTATATATAATGTAAAAAATATTCAACACACTGCAAAGTAAACACGGTCTGCTACTGTCAGTTTGTCAACTGGATTTATAGTAACTCTAGCTTACACTATAGTACACGAGTACAGTGTACTATAGTGTCACAACCATGAGTACTACACTCTGCCTACCAAGACATTATACTCTACATTAGTTCTGCTGTTCCATATCCAAACTGATCTCAGTTCAGTCTGTCTCTCGGTGTGGACATCGCCTTCATTTCACTTCCTCCTTATGTCTGTCAAAGCCGCTCACACACACACACACACACACACCTCATGTCCCAACAGTCTTTATGCTGATTGGGTCTGACAGCTCAGAACACGATGACATGGCCGGAAGCCACGAGTCTGTGGAAGAGTGAGTTTCTCTAATCGTGACTCACTCTTCACTGTGGAAGCTGCCCATGATTTACCCTCTCACACTGCAGTGATCATCATCATCATTAAACACAGAATTAAGCCCCGCCCCTCGTTTAAATATGTTGTCATCAATGCCCTTTGTACTGCCCTGCTCCCTGTGTTGAGTCTGTTAATACAATGTTATTGTTATATATTTATCTGATGATGTCACGGATAAAATAAAGAAAAGATGAAACACTGTGAGAACATGACACGAATTTCCACATATATTTTTATATACAAAGAGCAGACACACACACAGACTCACACAGATTCACCATCACCATTCACACTCATATTTATACAAATCCTATTTATTTCTCCTCTCTCGTTTAACCTTCAACCATCAGACCTAAAAACAAAAGTTTTTCTTCTTCACAGCCACCATAGGTCAAATCAGTCTGGAACATGTCGGCCTTCCCGGCGCCGCCTGGAGGCAGGAGAGGCCGATGCATGTGATTCAATGGCACACAGTTAACAACCCAAGGAGCAAAACAATTCAAACTGTCTTTCTCACCAGCAGGGAGCCTCTCAGCCAGCTGTGGGTCAGGGTCAGGACACTTCAACATAACTGTACACAACTTCACTCAAATATTTCCAAAAGAAACTTCATATCCAGTGGATGTACTTTGACTGAACTTTGTCTTGTGTTTGTCCTTATGTGAGTTTGACTGACCCAGTTAAACAACTGCTCAGGAAAGAGGATTAAATAAAACAAGACAAATATATCGCTGTTCCCTGGAGTCCCACCTGGGAAGAAACCCCATCATTCCCACTCTACGGCTCTGGAAGGAGACTCAGTTTAAGGTAGGTGTTTACAGCAGAGGCAGGGAGACAGGACAGGACATGGAAGTTAAAAGACTCAGCAGTGATGGGGGTGAAAAATGAGAGGAAAAAATATATAATAGAAAGAATGAACAATATTTTACAAATAAAAAACAATACAACCATTTGCTTTATTTCAACTGTACTTTAACAGTTTGTGTTTTGGATCAAAATCTGTCTTGGACAATATGGATTCTTTAATATTAGTAAGTAATAAAGATGTGATAAATCTCCAGTGCCCTGTTTTAAAATACAGGAGGAATACTGCAAAAGAAATGTTTTAAAATACAGGAGGAATACTGCAGAACTCAAAGTCTTTGCCTGAATTTTTATGGAAATTAAGTTAAAAAAAAACATCTGACAAAGAAAAGCTCATGGGAAAAAACAAAGGAAATTTATGAAAAGTAAGATCTCTCTTATTTTTATCTTTGCAAAGTTAACACTTCCCACATCTCAAAATAGGTATCCCCTGGTGCTAGTGACCTTTGACTTCTTTGGGTTTTTTTATTTTTTGCACAGCACTATAACAATACAGAGGAAAGTGCATATATTTGACTTGGCTAAAACAGTATTTAAAGATGACAACGATGTCAGAAACGAGCAAAGGTAATTGAAAAAAGAAGAGTGGCATCGCCTAGCGGAAAGCAGAAGCTACTACACCACCTGGGACACAAAAAAAAAATCACACACTTAAACCAAGTAAAGATACAAAATACAAATTTGAAAAGTTCATATCAAGCCTTTTATTTGGTATACAGATATTCATTGATTTATACAGTATATATATGTATAATATATAACACATGTGCCATCGCCAAGTCACAGACAAACTTACTTTCTCTAATAAATGAAAGAAAAGTATTATAATGCACTTAACTCTGAAGCAGTGCAGTGGAAGCCTGTAACCGAAAGGGGGAATGACGAGGTAAATGCCAGCCAGGAAATGTCACCCATAACTGCATTATTATCATAATAATAATAATAATAATAATAATAATAATAGTACCACAAACATATAGGTCAAACTGGAAAAAGTGAAGAAGAGTGGCAGCATGGACCCTTAGTGTCGTGTTTGAGAACATGACTAAAGTTACTAAAACACACACGTACAAGCACACACAGTGTATGCTTACAGACATACAGTGCATAAACGTATAAACAGGAAGTAAAGTTCGCCCCTCCAGAGTAAAGGGACCCTCAAAGGAGTCTTGTATACTTCAAATGTAAAAACAATAAACAACTAACAAACTACCTCACACATGCACGCAACAGCCGTGCACCATAGAATGGCCTGATCAGATGATGCTGGGACATATTAGTTGCATGTATACACACACACATACACACTCACTCACACACACACTCACCAGTGCAGGATGAAGTCTTGTATTAAAACATATGTGAACCATCGTCCATGCAGAAGAAGAATGACAAACACAAACACACACACACACACACACTCCAGAGGAGAGAATGGAAGAAACAACGGTGTTGTACAAAAAAAAGAGAGAGAGGGAGAAAAACAAAACAGAGAAAGTGTGTCGTATGTGTGCATTTACAGTAAACACACACACACATTCATACGAGAAGGCAGTACTGAGTGAGTGTGACAGATCGTGGAGTATCAGCTCCCTCGTGTGGTCACTCCGAATCTCGTTGCACCTCTGAGGCGTCCGCTCGACAAATGGGACAAGTTCTGTTAGCCTGAGGACACGGAGGGGAGACGGTTTGTTACAACAAACAAGGCGTCGTAGGTGATGTCTCCATAAAACCCGTATCCAGAAATGGTTGCAACATGTTTTAAAAAAACGTGGGAAAAGCTTAAATCTGTGAGTTTGTTTCGCACTAAAAAGCCCGATAATAAACGGGAAATACTTTCAGTTACAGACAAATAAACGAGAAGACCAAGTATGTCATTTCTTTTATCTGCATTTAAACTAGGATTTGTTCCAGTTCCGCAGTGGAAACTTTGCTCAACAGTAGCTGCGGCAAAAGACTTGAGGTGATCAGGAGTTTAGGACAGGGTTTTATCTGAGCCGAATCTTCCCGGAACAGGATCCGCCACCCCCGTGTCACTGTGTTCCGGGACCTCCCACTTAATTAGGCACTGGTTTATGATTCCAGTTATCAGGTTCTCTTTACAATGCACCTTACATTTTAGCACGTGACTCATCTGGACTACATGCAGGGCAGTAAAGAAAAGCAATATTTGTCCAGCTCTCGCCATTTCAGGGGATATAAGCTGAACGTCGTCCTATGGAAAAACCTGTAATAATGGACCGAGTCAACCATTGTACGTTCAGTCAAAACACTCCCGGTTCCATTGGCTACGTTTGTACTGCAGTGCCATCTAGTGGCTTAAACGTTGCGGACAATCAGGAGCAGTTTATGTCACTGGCCTCTATAGCAATGATTTCTTTCCTTAAATCTTTTTTTTTTAAGTTTAAATGGTGACACACTTTTTTAGAATTGTTTTTATAGAGACAGACAACAATTAAATGCGATACAACATTAAGTGTCTTGGAATGAAAAGTAAAAAAAACGTTAATAGTTTTGACCACAACTAAAATGACCAAAAGTAAATACCCTTATTCACACACACACAAGACTTAAATGGCTGCATTCTTCTCAACAACACAGCACTGTTATTATTAACACCCTAACTTGGCCTCTTCCAGCATTTTCAGTGGGAGCTCTTGTGTTTTGTGTGGTTTCAGACTTCAGACTCCTCTGAGCTGAATTTAGGAGCGTGTTCACACAAGCCCGATGTTTGTTTCTGTTATCTAGCAGGATATTTGAAAAAGAAGTGAGTTTTTTCTCACATCGCTCTCACATTCACTATGAATAACCTGAGCCGGTGTTGAATTAATCAAAGTGTTTGTGTGTCTTACTGTTCCTGCTTGGTAATCAAAACCTTGAGTTAACCTGATGTTCAACAGTGTGACGTAAGTTCAGAGCTTTCACTTACCCTCAGCCATTTGTCCACACACTTCCCGTGGAACTCGTGGCTACAAGGCAGAACTCGCAGCAGTTGGCGTGACTCAAAATCACTCATACACACCACACACCTGCAACACAACAGACACAATGAGGCATGTAGCAAGAGTACAATAGATCTGTTGATTCAACACATTTTCACCCGACAGACCACGCCACATGACTGACTAGGAATTAATGCTGCATAAACTTATACCTGTTCACACTCAGCGTGGAAACATTTTTAAAAGCATAGGATTATGACTGGTCTCAGTGGAAAGAAATCTCTCTTAATAACCAGGTGGTTGTAAAAGTCACGTACAGTGTTTGCTCAGACTGATGGTTATTTGGATTAAACCGATAGGAAGGAAGCTGTTCGATGTCCCCCTTGGTCAGTCCACGGAGTTTGGCCTCTCCCAGACGCTCAGCGAGGTTTAGGAGAGCCTGAAGAAGGAGAGAAAAATATATTTGTATAAATATATGTATTTATAGAAAGTCTGAGTCTGCGATCAACAAGAAAAAAATTCCCAGAGGAACAAACAGACCTCATAATTTTCTACTTCTCCATCGTCGACGTCCAGCTCTAGGCTGATGGCAGGACCTGCGGGCTGGACTGGCAGCATTGAACTACAGGAGATCAAACAGAGACTGGTTTGAAGTTCACATCATCAAAGAAACAAATTAGGAGTCTGAGAAGCTCAGATGTGCAGCAGTCTACAACTCTCTCCTTAAATGTAAAAATATTATTAGAAAATAAAGTCAAAAACTGAAAGGAAACTTTTGTTATTGTGTAAAGAATTGACTAAACTATCAAACCATCACCTTTGCAGAGAAAAGGGCTAGAAGGTATGACCTTCATTTCAGAACATTTAAAGGGATTCAGAGGTTCGGTTTCATTGACTATAAATATTTTTGAAGCCCTGTCAGTGTTATACTGTCGGAAAAGTTACAATTCTACCTCTACTTCCTTGTCTGCGTTGTGAGTTATCAAATGGATCTACTCACAGGAAGTAAGGCAGGAGGCTGGGGTGATAAGGCGAAGGTGGCAGTGGCTGTTGTGAGCGATACCGTCGCCCAGGGAGACGCCGAGGAATGAAGTTTGGATACGACTGAAGGTGATTAAAAATTAAAAAGAAAAAATGTGATCATTTTTAAACATCCAAAATATTCTATTTTTAAATTAATTTTCCAACTCACCATTCCAAACAACTCCTGCGGCAGGGGCTCATGGGACAGGAAATGCAGCTGTGTGGAGTGTGGGGTGAGTGCTGGGTGGGTGGCTGGTGGGTAGTGGAGCCCAGCACCCAGAGACAGATGCTCTCCAAGCAGCTCCACGTCATTTTCAATCCTCTGTAACGGCTGGGGTGTAATGACAAAGAAAGTTTTTGTTTTTTTTTGTTTTAATAAATCACGCAGTGACAGACATGCCTCGCATGAGGAACTGAACAAAAACATCACCAAACAAATGGTGCGTCACACTCCCATACAAAACCTCATCTAAGAACCGTAAGAGGAAAAAAAAAATACAAACTCAAGATTCAAAAAAAGATAAACTCCCTTGAGTGGAAGCTGTGTGAAATCAGATTTCAAACTGTTCAGACATATACTCCAGATTTCTTGAATTTCGGATGGAAAATAACCATCCCACCCAAAGCTACTCACCGACCGAGCCTGTTGTGTGGGGTAGGGTCCAAACTGCCCAGGCTGTGGCAGGTGAGGCGGGTGATGGGACAGGTGTGTCGGGGGATGGGGCAGATGAGGAGGGTGGAGCAGGAAGCCTGGGTCACTGGACAGCAGTGATGGGAAAGGATAGGGCATCGGTAAATGTTGGACAGAACATGTCTGAAGAACCTGCGGCAGACGTGGGGTAAAACAAACGGACAAAAGTTCATTTACAGCGTGATACTTGAACAGACCATTCAGTCACAGTGTGAAAAGACAAACACACTCACGGGGGGAGGGACACTGCAGACAGGGTAGTGCTGTCCACTGAAAACCACAGAGCATGCTGGGATCTGCTGAGGAGCAGAGCGGGGCGGCAGGCCAGGTGGCGCCCCCGCCTGAGATATAGGGTATGAGACTGGAGCGGAACCCTTCATGGAGGAGAGGCAAAATAGAATATTACATTTGCAGAATCTGATTTATGATAGTGATGACATCTCAAAACACTTTAATTACAATTTGTAAAAAAATGATTATATATATTTTTTAAAGACACCACTGATCTCTGAAGAGTGATCAATTTGATATAAAATGGTATTAAATTAATTCACCTGCTCATGCAGGTCCAGCACCACACTGCTCTGTTGCTGAGAAGGGTGATGGTGTGGGTGAGGGTTGTGATGATGCTGTGGGTGGGCTGCAGGGTGCAGCAGCCGAGGAGATAGATTTGGAGACTGATGGAGGGGCCTTGGCGAGGGGTTTGGGGGATGGGAACCGGGACGCTCGGCTCGTCCTGGACCCGGGCCTCTGGGTGGTTGTTGGCTGTAAGGTTGGTAACCCTGGGGAGGAGGAGGAAGAGGAGGAGGAGGAGGAGCTGGATGACGGTAGTTTTCATCCTGGTGGCCCGACGAGTGGCCATGGTGGGAGTGCGGATGGTGGTGATGGTGGTGGGAGTTAGGGTGGTGATGGTTGTGGTGGTGTTGGTTGTTGTTGTTGTTGTAGTGGTGGTGGTGGTGGTTGTTGTTATTGTGGGCATGGTGATGGTGGCGAGTGAGGCGGTCTCTCCTGCCACGGGGCCGTCTCATTGGAGGACTGAGGTGAAAAAAGGAAAGAGGGAGAGATAACTCAAGAGGCAGAAAGACAAAAGATACACATATATACATACAAATATATACATATATGCTTTTATATATGTATATATAAATTATTTTACACAGTACTTCCTATTATTGTTTTTACATCCTGCTAAATACAACAAGACCAACCGTCTTAGACAACCTCCATACCAAATATTACTTTATAAATACAATGGATATTATTTACTGTGTATCAGTCAATAATACAGTGCTTCACATGTGCTTTTGCCACAAGCATGCACAGCCTTACCTGCGCCGGTTGCGAACAGGTGTGTGACATCTCTCCGGCATGTAATGAGGGTGCGGTCTGCGATTGGGAGGGAGCTCCCAGGGACGAATGGGAGAGGAAGGTGTTGAGGAAGGTGCAGAGCCCAGGTCCAACATGGACTGCTGAGACAAACGCTGTCTCTTAGGGCTTGGACTGTCATCCATCTGCAGACACAAACAGACAAGGATGGAACCAGAGGACAGACAAAAGTTGAATGAGTTAGAGAGTACAATGGTAAACAAATCCTATTCAAATACAGTGGGAGGGTAAAAAGCAGCTGTCGTGTTTCATACTTACCTTGTCCCGATCATCACCACACATGTTATCAGGATGAAAATGCAGTACTCCTCCTGCGGGTCACAGATGATATGATATTACAATCACATAAAGAACTGAAAACATGTAAAAACGTCCAATTCTAGGACAATGCTGTTTCGTATATCTGAGCATAACCTAATGTGTAGCTAAAGATTTAACTGTCCAGGTTGACAGAGTGAGAGTCATCAGTCCATTTTCCATCCACCGTTTCATCTACCAGGAAAGAAAACTGGAAAAAACAAACTCATGGAAAAACATCCACATAGTTCTTATTTTTTAGGGCTGAAGCTCGTGGAGTAGATGACAAACTAAGTTTTGGAATTTATTTTCAAACTTTCTTGCAACTTAGACACATTGAAGACTATTTATGAATAAATATAATAAATGGCTAAAGGGAAAAGGAATAAACTCATACTCAGACAATTCAGCTTTAAAGAAAATAGTGTGGATATCTCTGTCCTTTCATTTTTTGTAGCAGAAAAAAAATACCATTCTTTTATAATACAAGATGGAATAGCATGTGGAAAATGATACTTTAAATAATCTATGGGGGTGATGCTTAAAACACAATGGTCTGGTTTGTTTATCTAAGAGTTAACATGTGCCATCTGGATGCAGCAAGTGCACACAGGCAGTTTGGCACATGTCCTTGAATGCAGCTGACAAGACTTGAAAGTGTCTAAACAGTTGCTCTAAAACCTTTAATCACCAAAAAGAGGGAGGGAAAAAACCCTCCCTTATCTTTCTGCTCCCCCAGATGCTTCCAACATCCCAACACTTCCTTCAGTTCCTCAAAAAAACAAATCTGGGGGAAAAAAGCCCCCAATTTTTCCTCTTTGCAATACCATTTCAGAGCTATATGAAGTCTGCTGATAGCGACAGCTCAAAGACGTCCTGCGAGAGGCAGAAGCGAACAGACGGAGGGTTGGTTGACTGACTAGTCAACAGGAGGGCCAACACACTGGCTCACATCTTTATTCATCTACCCAAGCCTTTGTAGCTAAAACCTCACAGAGTCCTTGGACTCAGCTGCTCGTGCAGCTTGTGCAGAAGTAGGTCTGTGAATGCTGATTCACCCCAGGGCCAGGGAACTGGGGGGATGATGGTGGTGATGATGATGATGATGATGATGATGAGCCACATTAGACAGTGCTGCTGGTGAGCACATGATTTAGCTTCTTCCCAGCATGTCTACCAGGGACAGCTGACACATTTACACTGAGGACTGATTTTAACAGGGTTATAAAAAAAATAACAGAATATGTTAACACTTAACTAAAACCATCAAAGAAATCCATCATCAAAAACCAAGCATGTGCAGCTGCTGAGAGGAAGATGGTTGATCACAGGACAGGGACATTTGCACAAAGCTCTGGAGTCTCTCACTTCAGAAAGCATGTGTTCCCTCCATGCAGGTTATTTTTGGTGTTTTGCAACAGCGGCCCAATCGCACAGGACAATTAGAAACCTGCTTTAATTCATTCATTGCACTTTTGTGCCTGAGGGGGATTTGATGTGGTACAAAAGACAGCTTTACATAAACCCTCTCAAAGTCAACAAAGAAAACCGGCTGTCAGTGCCGCCTCAGTCTTAAAGAGGTTAAGGGGGAGTTCTATTTTTTTTATGCTTTCATTTTAATTTTCTATGCTCATTTTAAGGGTTTGACTATTATTAGACATAACACAAAAACCTGATTTTGATTTGGGTGAATAAACAACTCGAGTGTTAATTCTTCCATGTCTTTGGCTGGAGATTTGCTTATAATAGCACAGCATACACTGATAAAGACCAGTTCAACTAGTTTGGCAACGCAGAGCAACATATAGTGAATAGCATTAGGGTTTATATTGAACTGCTCTGAAAAATTAGTATTATGTATCCAAGCAGTGGAGCCATTTTTAAAAGAAGAAAACTATCTCAAATAAATATCTTGTGCAAATAGATCTGTGAGACTATTTCTATAGATCTGTACTGTAGACTCTGCAATTAAATGTGTCACAGGGCCTCTGCAGGAGACAGATTACATATCACGTATCACATATTACGATCTGGAGGCCTTCAATAACACCCGGCCTGGACCGTCCAATGGAAACTTCTGCAATGCTAAACCCGTGCTGGAATAATTACATCTGCCAAAGAGGTTGGTCAGTGTGTTGTTGTTGTGTGTAATGCACATCAAATAAGGACAGTTTTTTTTTATTTACTTTACATTTCCTCAGAATGTAGGTCATTATAAACATGGGTTTTAATTTTGAATAACTTAAATCAATTTCTGTTATTATCTAGTAATAGCTGCTTTTATAAGTCTGTGTTCCTGTACAATTAAGCCAAAAACCTCGATTAAGTTCTCTCTTGTTAATTCTAGCCCTTGTGCTTTCCAGTTTTATATGCTGTTTGGGTGCTTTCTATATCATTTGCACCTCGGCCATGCCAGATAACAACATCCATCCTGAATGATCTGTGCAATCACAAGTGGGTGGAATTAAAATGGATCAGAGTTTCATGTGCCATGACCACATCTGCTCCTGCTGTGCTGTACGTCCACCCTGATAACATCATGCCTGGTTGTAAGAATAAATAGAGGTTTTAAATGAGCTGCGGTTATAATCTCTGCTATTAGCTTAGCAAATTAGGGAAAACTATTTAAGATATCATAAAAATAATGTATTTTTTTCTGTTTTAGTCTGACTTAGTAAGTCATACACACAGCTGTCTTCTGTGTTCTACTGTAAAGCTCATATTTTGTACTGATACTTGACCAACCAATGCTGTTGCCCATGAGCCGGTTCAAAACCTGTTGTCCAGTGTGGTTGTCTATCCAATTCCCATGTCCTTAACAAATACATAAGAACGGAACATATAATTAGCTTTAATGACAGAAGAATGAATAACAGCACAATGCAAATCATGTGCTTGCACTCTACCACCATCTACTGGTAGTGAAAAATACCAGTACTTGACATATATCAAGTAAATATAATTGGAACTCTGTACAATGTAACTCTGTATAATTGGAACATGTACACTGACACAGCAATGTGTTACAGCGCTCGTGTGACAGGACATACAAAGTTTATACGGGTTAGCTACAGTTACACCGATTCTGGCTTGAATAGGCCAATAGAAAAGACGAGTTTATTTCCACAATTGAACGCAAGAATGTGGAAACATGCGGTTCCAAAACCACATTATTATCTGCTGTTGTACTGGTCTTTCATCCTGCCGGTACGACAGTTAACTTATCTTATTTGTTTTCAACTGTCGTCCTGATGCTGCCCCGTCTTACACGTGACACGGCACGTAAAATGCAGTCGACATACATAAAGTGTACCAAGACATTTAAAATGATTCTGATTCCGAAATTTCTGATCTCACATAAAGAAAAAAAGGGGGCAAAGCAAACTGCCAAAGCTGAGCCGGTTTCACATTCACTCACATGATGCATAGTTTGGCTTTTCAAGCAACACCTGGCAGTGAAGAGCACTGAGCCTTTCAGTTAGATGTCTCAGAACCTGTTCAGCTGCCAGTGGTCTGCTTGCTTCCTTCAGGGGGCGTATCCTCTGTGGATGTGTGTGGATGTGTGTGTGTGGATGTGTGTGTTATTGGTGCATCTGCCTGCTTTCAGGCCCTGTTTCATGATGCTTTACTTACCGGCCCCGGGGTGCCTGTGGGCTCCGAGTGGAGGGTGTCGCTGTGCCCCTGCGGACATATAGCTCCCCTGGGTGTGTTGCTGTTGCTGCTGGTTCTCCGAGTAGCTGCGACCACCGTGGTGTGGCCCCCAACCTGAGTTACTCTGCTGCGAGTAACTCGACCCTCCTCCGCTGGCGTTTACCAAGCTCCCACTACCAACAGCGTTACCACTGCCGTTACTGCCAACGCCGCCGTTCATGCCGAAATGATAGAAGCCTGACCGAGACCGTGATCGAGTCCTCGGGGGGTCCATGGTTGAGGATGAGGAGGAGTAGGAGAAAGAGGGCGGTGGTGGATGGACGCGATGAAGGTAGTGCTGGAGAGATGGACGTCCAGAAAGGGACAGAAGCCACCCTCCCTCTTCACACTGCCTCTGCGACTCTCTCGATCCGCCTAGTTACCGCTGACGACCACTGTTCTCTCAGGCATTTAAAGCTACCATTTAAATAAAAGCAAGTGAAATACCTGGAAGCACAGCTTTCAACATCTGCGTCCACTCCAACCACTCCCCCTAAGCTCTGTGCGGGTCAACTATACGGAAAACACTTATTTATTTAACAAAACTAATAATTCCAATTAACAAACTAGCACACAGTGGAACAAAGCCACAGTGGTTTGGTTATTTTTAGTACTTTCCCTCGTTGCTAGAACAACCGAGTAGATCTTAGGATCTCTATTGTCTTTCCACAGAGCTCGACTGTCAGGTTTACACAGTGTGAATTTAAAGCCTTTTTTTTCTTCAAAAACTGGTTCTGTCAAATATGGTTTTAAACATATTTCTTACTTTTCGAGAATAACCCACCAAACAAGTGCTAAAGGCTAAAGACTAGCAAAATGTTATACTTAAAGCCCCAACACAAGCAAAATGGCTAACTGTGGAGCTTTCAGCAAAGTAAAATAAAACCAGCCGCTCGGGTAGCAAAAGTCAACTTATTATCATGTGTTTGTGATCAATTTAAAGCTAAAGCGATGGCTTTTGTAAAAGTTTTAACCATCTGTGCGTTGCCAAACTATACCTCCTGGTCCAATAGCATCCCCTCGGTAATGCAGTTAGCCACAGGCTAAAAGAAAGCAGGGTTTAGAGGGGAAAACAAGTCCAAGAGTGCCGACATTACAGGTTCGCTAATGTCGTGCTGTGTTGAGGCCAAAGCCGGGGGTTCCGCGTCGCTACTCACTGATTCGGTTAGACTACGCAATGATGCAAAAAACTACCTTATCCGTCAAGCAAAGGTGGACGGATTTCGTCCAATTTAAATACCCTCTCGCTTTGGCTGTTTTCTCTGGTCAGCAGGGAGTGTAGTGGAGATCAATCAATGGGTGTTTCACATCTCTGTTCAGTCAAACACAATCGACCGCCGAAAGACACTTGCTCTTCGTGCGATGCAGATTGTGCTAAAAAGATGAGCAACTTGCTAAACAAGCTAAAAATGATTTTTAAAACTATATTAAGGTCAACTGTACTTTAATATTTTTGTCTAATAAATAGCGAAAATAGGTCAGTTTATTTCCATATGTAGTTCGGGGTAGACTGCTTTAGTCTGGAAAACCCCAGGCAGCTGCCGAGCTCATTAATAATTCAGCAGCTTCGAAGCCGAGGTACTATAAAGGGTTTGAAAACGCTCACGTTTGAAGCCATTCCCCATACTATATACACATACCCGATCGTTTTACAGTGATCACATGGCCACAAGTGATGCAGTTTTAGTTAAAAATCCGTTTGTGTCTGCTCATTGTTACAGACCCTTATTACTATTTTAAAAATAGCATATCGCGAACCATAAATGAGAAAACAGTGCCTATGGATGTAAAGCCTTATTCCCGTCTTCGATTTGTTGTTGAAGGTTTTATTTGCAGGTTTATGTGTGTCATCATGGCCTTCACGATGGAAAATGTACGGGTTTAAACTACCGATCATTTAAAAAGTACATATTTTCAGTTGCTTTGGTTCAGGTGCTAATTTACATAACTTCAATAATAATTGTGAACCTTATTCTGCTTTAACTGTATTGTTATGTGAAACAAGTGTGTTTTGTGAATTTGGAAATTTAAACAAATAAAACTGACCCTACTTAATGATAAAATAATCCAAAATACAAGGAAATCAAACAACAAAATATAATTCTAATTTAAATTATACTGCAACAATTATAATGCTGACAAGCAAGACAATATACTTATCTTCAAAGGGATTATGAGACTTAAATTTAAGACAATGTTAAGACTGCAGATGGAAGCGCTAAGCTTAGTTGTTAACATGAATCCAAAGGATGCAATGAAGCTGGTCTTCATGAAGAGTACAGTACATGCTTACCTTAGAAAAGAGAATCAAACACACAAACACAGTTATATCAATAAAAACTTTTATTATTTTCATTGATGCGGTTTAAAAAATGTTCTATTGTATGTAAAAATAAATTATCTTCTTCTGTGACGTATTCTTTGCTTCGGGGAGAAAAGGTTTTCACCTCCAATGTCCACTTCACAGTGAGGATGTAAATAACCCCGTCTCATTCCTCCTCTCTTCCTCCACCTCTCTGCTTCTCTACTCTTCTTGCTCTTCCTTCCCTCTACATCAGCTCTCTTCTCCTTCTTCTTTAGTGGAGAGGGTGTGGCCTGGCAGTGACCACGTGACCTGAAAAGGTCCTGAAAGCATCCTTCATCATCAGAATCACAGCGAGACCTCCCCAGAATTCCTCCCTCTCTTCTGGCTTGAGCTTCTCTCCTGAGTTTTTTCACCTGCTGTCTCTCTCTGCGCCTCTCCGGCCATGTCTTCTTCCTGCCAGTTCGGGGAAACACCTCCTGCTTCATTCTGCACCTCCCTCGCTCTGACTGGTTTTCCTCACCAGCTTCCTCATATGGTTCTGTCAAATGCTGCTGGTTTGAAGGACACACAGTATCCACACCTGCAAGCTCTGTGAACAGAACACAATGAGAGTTTAATTCATTATCAAATGAGATAATATGGAGCCCCATGTTTAAAGAAGCTCTTTATAGATGCTTCTAATAGTTTTTTATAGATTTTTTTTTGAATTTGCACAAATAATTGATGGTTTATATTGTCTTTACAGGACATTTGTAGCAATGAAGGAGCAAAACATCTTTGCACTGAAGAGTCCAACTTTCAGAGCCATAGCCAAAAACAAGACCTCTCGCTGCTAATTATGTTTTCATCTCGCAGCAGGTAAATATTAAAAGCCGCACAAGGTGATAACATGTATAAATATATAAAAGGAACTAATATATTTTTTAAAAACCACATTGGCAGGCCCATAGTGATTTAGCAGCCGGTTCATAGATGCAGGTGACAGGTGTAATACTCTCAACCACAGAGGGCACTAAAGGACTGTACAGTGAGGAGGAGCTACCAAACAAAGGAGAGAAGTAAAGATGCAAAGTTCAAATTCTTTATCACATGACCATCAATATGGGTAAAGAAGAGACTTAGCACAACACACTGAAATAAAAGTCATAATTCACAGTTAATATATATATATATATATGTATATATAATGGCAGCGATCTTTATAGACAAATATATATGTTTCTCAATGTTTACAAACATAATTACTTTAATAATTTGTATTATTGTATATGTATTATATAACTGATGTTTTTTTTTACCTCGAGTTCCTTTTTGTGTCCTGATACCACGCTGGAGAATGTCTTCAATGGTGTCATAGTGACACACGTAGGGTAATGAAGGAAATGTCCCACTGACCATCATCCTTTTAGTGCACTCCTGAGAAGGACACATAAAGACAAGGGGTAATGTAAATGAAAAGTAATGAGGAAAGATGGTGCATTTGTATCAAAACAAAGTTAGAGGATACGACGAGAAGATGGATGTGGAACCAGAACACGACAGGTGTGAATGAATTAATATTATATGTAGTAGTCGAGGTGTGAAAGACAGTGAAGCCAAACCCTGTTGCAATTCTATCTATTATTCAACAAAACACTGGAGAAACCTGCAGAGAGCTGACATATTATCATGTATGAAAGTGAAGATCAAGCTAATTCAATGAATGTCTTTTTCATTCATTCAAACAAATAAAAACACAAAGTCAATATGAAAGGGTAGACAGAGGAAGAAGGAAAGACCAAGATAAAGAAAGAAAGAAAATAAATGTCTTTTGTTTGTCACTTACAAAGCCATAATGTCCCTTCTTAGAGCAGTTGTAACAATGAGCAAGGTGTCTCTTGTGTTGGAGGGTGTGGACTCCCTGTGGCCTGAGAGGAAGCTCCAACCGAATCTGGAGAAAAAGACAACAGGAGATTAACTGAGATTAATCCACAGCTATCCCATGATTAATCAGATTCATAATTTTGATTTTTTTTTAGAGTTCTTAGAATTTTATTTCTTCACTGTACAGTAAAAATACTATAATATCGTAGCGGAACACAATTTCATTACTGTGTATATCACAATAAATACAACCTCAAATCTAGCAGTAAACGTGTCTGCATCCAGCCAAAAGGCATTAAAAATATTGGCAGCTTGTCCAATACGAGATGTAGGATGAAAAAAATCAGAGAATGCAGTAAAATCAAAACTGTTCAACTCACTGTTAAGTGGTATTGTCGCCATATATCTGGGCAAGTCTGTGGGGAAAAAGAACAGAAAAACATATACTCTATATTTATTTAATTGATTTCCTGCAGGAAGAGTGGAAACTCAGAATGTAACTGGAACACGGAGGAAGAAGTGTTTGCAGGGATCAAACAGTTCCCCATTAGTGGTGGCCAGAGGCCAGAGTCCCACACTGACGACAAATAGTTGTTGTTGTTTGTTTGTTGTTTTTTTTGTCCCAGTATAGCACTACAGTACACTGTGTATAAAAACACTCAGACAGAGAGACAAACATAGATACTAACATCAGACATGTGCCCCATCACAGCACAGCGCCGGCAGAGCTGGTTCCATACTGGGGGTGTCTCACACGGCTTGAGGCCATGTGACTGCAGCCCACAGCTGGAGCAGGGTCGGCTCGGACAGTCTTTTTGAATGTGGCCCCGGATCCCACATAGAATACATCTGGGACATTTCTGCAGCGAAGAAGAAAAAAAGATTATTACAAATATGCCTATACACCACGTGTCAAACTAGAGGCCTGCAGGTCAGATTCAGCCCACTGAGTCATTTTGCGTGGCCTGTGGGAGCTTAAAAAGCATTTTATTGCCTTTTAATAATGTTATACTAAACATTATACCAATAGAAATTTCACAAGATGCTGTTGTTGTCTTGACACATAAGACAAGTCAAACTACAGGCTGAAGATTTGTTGAACTAAATCAAAGACAAAGCTGAAGGTGTGAACAGAAAGTGTGTTCAATTCAAAAACATCTACATCTCTCACAGTGGATGTGGGCTGCAGCCCAAGAGCCACATTTCCACTCCCACATGTCGTCATAACAGGGTGTAGAAATAGACTTTTCCATATGTTTGCATGCAGGGACTTGTGACAGCCAGGAGTCACAGCATTTGTTTGAGTGTGTGATGTGCTCACCATCTGCTTGCTGTAAGTAAGAGAGTGCACTGTGCAAAAATGCTTTTGTGTTAGAATACCTTATGGTAATAGCAGCTTTTAGCAACATGACCTGCCCTGCCACAGATGGTACAGAGCGCGTCACGACCAGGTCCAAAGTAGCGGCTGTTCAGAGGCTTATCCACACCAAACTGGATAAAATCAAGAGACGTAGACATTTCACTGCATTATTTATGTGCATTTGTGTGATCCAGATTAAAAAAAGGCAAACGATCCTTCTTTTCTAAATTTTCATATCCACTCCCTCTTGTCTAATGTTTGTCTTTAACCCATGAAATGTATTTACATTAATAAGGATTGCAAATAGATAGGGTTGTCAATTCATAGTTTGTCATTTTATAAAAGTTCACTTTTATCAAAATAAAAACAACAACAGAAACATTTCACTAAATGAAAAGTCTTCCTTGTTCATATATATGTATTTAAATATATATATTATAATGTATATATAATATATATTTCAATTACAAAAGAAATTGTTACCTTGTCTTTCCCTGAGACAGCCCAGATATCTTTAAATGACTTTACTGTAAGATCTGTGTTAAAAAAGAAAATTGAAAAAAATAAATTATGTGAATTGTTTATCACTATAAAAGGCTAGTAAGATAAATGTTTTCCAAGTCCGTTTGCTTTAGAAAAAGTATTAATTATGATGATTGATATGAATGATTACCTCCATCTCCTGAGTCAGACTCACTCTCTGAGCTACACCAGTAGCCCAGGTTCAGTTGGATGCTGGAGTCTCCTTCCTGCTCCTCTCCTCCCAAGACCATCCACTCCTCGACAGGCTGTTCGAAGTCTTCACCATCATCTTCCTCCGGCGACCCAGTACTAGAATCCGACCTGGTGCTACTGCCCTCCAGACTCTGTCCACGAGTGATGGGAAAAGCCAGAAGGAGTGGAGGAGAGCTTTCTCTGATGGGTCGGGCAGTTTGACTGTTGGTGCTCGGACGTTTTTCATCACTAACATCCAATATTCCCTCTTCTTCACCAGAACTGCAGTAGCTCTCAATAAAAACAAAGTCCTCGCTGACATCACCCTCTTCGCTTTTCTTTAGGTTGTCCATTCTGATGGCACACGAGTGAACAGCGACCGCTCGATGCTCTACGCTGCGTGTGCACCAATGCAACGACGATCGACGCTTACAGAATTAAAGTGTTTCAAACTAAAACAGAATACCTTTATCATTATTCCTAAACGCAGAGACACGACGACGTCTTAAAACGTTGATAGCAAGCTACCCACATCTATGCTAATAAAAGTTAGCGCCGTGGTAGCCATGTCTGTTAAAGTAGCATCAATAGTTAACCAAACAAAGTATGTGTTAGTTCATAGTGTGCGCTTACTATTCTACATTACCCATAAACTGCGATAATACAGAGAAAAAAGATTAGCGTATACGCAAAAAAATCAAGACGACCATGCTTGTTTACGTATGTAGTAAACCGGTGTTTTCTAAAAAGTTGGCCAACCAAAACCTAACCCAGATTTTTAAAAAAGGGAAATGAATTGGCTGTTAGTAATGATCCAGGAGTGTAGTAGTAACGTCGCAACAACTTCCTTGCACAAATGTACTTTTACACACAAACTTATTTGTTATTGTTATTTAACTTATTTAATACATTGAATTTCTACTTTGACAGTTAGAATCCATAGTTTAATACTTTGTAATTAATTGATATTTTACAGTGGATTGAGCAGAGGATCTAAGTTGTAATATTTTAGGTAAAAATCAAATAAACTAAAAATGACAGAAGTTTTTTCATGTTTTATTATTTAATATTTTTTAGTTATTTCTGTGGCCTAGAAGAGCTTTATACTTCTTCTACATTATCTCCTATCTCTTTTACTCCCATAAATTATGTGCAGTATTTAATACTGAATCAGGTTCTTCAAGTACTTAAAACAAATAAGAGCAGTGGTAAAATGCAAATAACTCATCAGAAAAACTCATCAGAAAAACACTGTTGTGGAATGCAGACAAACCTGCTTTTACTGTCATTTATAATCACACTGTGTAATGTCTTTAACTTAGCAACTGCTGTAAACAGACATTTAAAGAGCAAAACATTACATTTTTAAGTTGCTGTGTCTGTTGCACAACAGAGCAAACGTGTCTGAGAACATATTTCAAATAAAGCACATAGGGCTTAAACTGGTTTGTACCTACATTTGACAAGTTTGTTTTCATGGTATAAGTTAAAAAAAACAGTGATGAAGAAATAAAAGCCAGGGACTGCCTCTCCCTGTCCTCGGGCACTTTTACTTTCTCAGCCTTGTTGTCGCCACGGAGAAGAAACATTTCCAGTCTCAACTGCAGGGTCCATTGTAACGGCAGCTATGTGCGTTTTCAACAGCTGCTGTCCAACCTGTGTCTCAAAGACATGAGGGGTTTCAGTGATTATCACCATGATGATGGTATTTATTCCCAGGCCCGATCCTCCGGCAGCTGTGATGCCTACAAAGACAACTGTTGTCTGGATCATATAGTCATCATCTGCAGGAAGCATGAGAAGACTGGAGAAGGTGAATTATATTCATGTGTTTCACAGGTGAGATGAAGTGAAAGGATTATGCTGCTGCTACCAATGCTGCTGCTGCTACCTATGCTGCTGCTGCTACCAATGTTGACTAAACTGAATGCTCAGTGCATTTTCAATAGAATCAGGATATATTGGATATATTGGATAATTCACTCACTTATACTGCTGCAAATGGAACAATTTCACTTTTACCACTTTTTTTCCCACCAGTTAACCATGTTGTCCTTAGGTAATATTAATTGTTTGTTATTAACTTCAATACTTAAAATATATAGGTATAAAATACTGTACCATTGTACAAAATAACAATCACTTTTTATATATATAATGAATAAAAAATAATATATAATATTTAATATATAATTAAGTGTTACATTAATAGCTACACAATATGTTATGCATTAAAGTAGGAAAAATGGAAGAACAGACGACAACGTGATCTAGTATGATCATAAAATGAAACAGTTCAGAATTAAAATTTGCAGATGCTTTTACATGATTTTGTCCCTAAATATTTTGAAGACGAAACCACAGAGAAGAAAAAGACACAGGAACAAGTGGCTGCTGATCATCAGCTTCTTGATTTCTCTACTGGTCTTTACCTTTTGGAGTAAGTGACAAAACTGTTATGTGTCAGCAAATGTAAGATTATTATTTTTTGTATATATGTATATGCTGTATCTGCTATATATGCTGTTTACCATTGGGCCAAGTCAAGTTATTTGGTACATTTAAATACTGTGTTGTTTCATTTCAGTTAAAATGAGAAGGTTTATTTGGGTTTTATTTCTAACATTTATGGCTTTTTAAAGCAATATGTTTTTATATTTGGGACAGTCTCCTTAATGTACACGTCTCTACATGCTCTTTTGCTATTGTTATAATACATTTTAATTAACTTTAATTTACTTGTCTTGGCCAAATCGAATCATTTTTGTAAGTCAACATGTTTTTATTTTCTATTTTCTGAAGTGGGCAGAATGTGCAGGAAAGACAACGATGCACAGGACAGTGTGAGCACAAATTCACACAGAAAGGTGAAATATTTACTAGCTTTGGTGACAAATCAGAAAATATACTTTTCTTTTCTCTTTGTCTGTGTTTTAGGGAGCCAGTGTGTTTTTTCTGTCCCAGGCTGTGTGGCTGCTGGGCTTCCTGCTCTTTTGGACCATCTGGTTGCTCCTGCGACTCCTGCAGGTGTTCCTGGGGTTAATCAAGTGGCTGCTGTGGTTCATCTCCATCTTTGTCTACCCTCTGTACTGCTGTTTGTCCTTCTTGCTGACCTGTGTCCTCTTACTGCTGCATTACCTGTGTGATGCTGTATATGCTGCCACTGCCAGTCCTGTGTATTACGGCATGTTCTTCAGCATCGTGTTGTTTCTGATCATTTTGAGATTTTCCATATCTGGTTACAGATAGTTACAGTTAGTTCACCACTGTTGAGGCCTAACTGAACTGTATGATATCATACTGACCAACCACACATTGTCACCACACAAACTGCTGCTTGAGGCTGTGTAGATTGGTCCAGTGGTGATGATGTCACTGAAGATCTCTCACTTGAACATGATGAAGACCACCTGGCAGCCTGGAGCCATAAATAAAACCAAAAAGTGAGCACAGAACAATGTCAGCCATAGTGATTCAACATGATGACCTACATCAGTGAATATCAACTGGCGGCCCACAGGCCAAATTTAGCCCACAGAACCATAAAATCCGGCCTGAGACTGGATTCCAATATTGTGATGATCAAAGAGAAAACATTTATTTTTATTTCATTTTATTTAAGAGTACAGCCGCCAAGGTGTCTGTCCAGAAAAATTCTGACCCTCATAGAAATATAGTTGGTGACCCCTGACCTACACAGCAAAGCTTTGCTACTGATGTCTTGTCAGACATGTAGGTAATGGCTATGGTGCAGAACTGTGACGTCTGTCTCACTTTAATGACCTAAAATCAGAAGTGTGAGATGATCATTCAGACTGAGGTCAGTTTCTAACACAGCACATACGATCCCAACTTAAAACCACACACAAAGGAGGCCATGGTGAGGAAAAGTTAAGTCATAAAAATCTCATGTGGGTCACACAGGACATAGGCCTGATGTTGTGTCACGTCTGTCTAGTCTTAGTGTACATCTAACCCAAAATGACAATGTGGGTCACTCATTTACTTGGTCTAGTGCAATACAGGTGATCATACTGTAACATTTCATTTTAAGCGGAATCATTAGAGTTAGTTTTTCTTTTCATTTCTGGATTGTTTCAAAACATTTTATGGTCGGATTTGAAACTTCGGACATCGGACAATCTCAAGGATTAATAATTACTCTTGTGGAATGCTGTAGGAGTATATTATTACGGTTTATCAGCATTATTTTATAAGCCTGGTGATTGTAAAAATGTCATTAACCTCAGCTACTTCTGCCTGTGTTGCTGCTCTACGCACTTTCATATTGCCAACAATAATCAACAATAATCATCATGAATATCACATACAAGGGCCAGCATTTGGATCAGTCTACTTTTAGTTGACATGTGGCCACTTGTGAACCAACCAACCAATCAACTAACTAACCACAGTTAAAAACAGATCAGTGAGGTTAAGAATAACCTTTCCAGAAATTAAGTTTTTTATTTTGTTATGTGGGGAGAAAGACGTGTAATATTGTCCATTGTTTGGTCTGGAAGAAAGAGATCCAGGAATGATGATGTGAAATAAAGCGTACATATCCATCCCATCCATCCATCCATCCATCCATTTTCTTCCTCTTATCCCTTACCCAGTCGTGGGGGCAGCAGTCTCCACCCAAATCACACTGCACCGTACCCACCCCCCTGAACCTTCCTGTGGGTGGTGAGTCCACTGGAAGGTACCAACCACCCTAACTGGGATTCGATCTTGCCCAGGAGGTGAACCCTGGAGTTCCACACCAATGAGACATTGCCTCTGGGCCAAAGCGCCATAAGCATACATATTTTATGTGAAATTCATATTATTGTTTGTTTTTTTTTTCCAAAGATTAATAACTGGCAATTGATATATATTAGTAAGTATGTTGTAAAGCTATATTTTAAAAGATATCAGTGATATCTTTGCATTAGCCTGTGTCTGTAGACTGCATTCATGTTGTAAGTAATGTATCTCAATCTTGTATTGATCCGTACCCTTTGTTTATTTTACTATTTAACTGAACAGGAAGTCACACCCGTGTTTTTATCTTTTCAGTTCACCTGATATTTTCTCGGTAAATCCTGTCACAGTCCAGCGACAGCTACAACTGGCTGCAGTTGGCGTCACCAGAAAAACAACTCTAACCCTAACCTTAATTGATCTTTACATTTGATTTAAGCACTTTATGACAACTCATTAACGTTCATCTGTTTCCACCACCAAAACACTTAAAACCTAAAAAAGCTAAACTTCACTCCTGAGGCTTTACAGTTTTATATATTTATTTGCTTTTCTGAGACTGTCCACCAAGAATAGCTCCATAAACCTGTGTGTTTCCCCTGTTCAAATGTTCAAAGTGCAACGGAATGTGTTTTAGCAACAGCACTAACATATGATAAAGGTACACGTACACAGCAGCATTGAACTCTTGATATACCAGCAGTGACGCATGAACAGGAGAGTAACTGATGTGAAACGGAATCAAACCAGTACAGAGGACACACAGTGTTGGACCATGGCCTGCAAAGATGTCTACAAGAGAAAGACAAAAATTGCAGTGGAGCCTTTGTACCATTCTGGACAACTTTTGGTAAAAAATGGTAATAATGGGGTGAGTATGAAAAGAGGACAACATTTCACTGGGAGTGAGACAGAAACAGTTTAATAAATGAAGATAAATATATAGCTTCATAATTCCTCCTGAACTGTGATGTGGGTTATTGAAAAAAGGGGGATATAGTCCTTTAAAAGGGTCTTTTTGGGGGGTTATTTTTAATCATTCCTAAGTGCATAATTTGCCAAAATCTAACCTTTTTTAATATTTATTGTTTCTACAGATTTTTTTTAATCAATATTTCACTTTCTCCATTAAAAAAAGACTCTTTTTTACATTTATTTTGTTCTATCCTTTAGAAATATAAGTCTTTTTTCGGAGAGCTCCGTGGTACTACACTGTTCCTGTACAAACACAAGAATCAGGAAAATGTGAGAAACAATTTCCACGATTGTCATTTTCATTTATTTGTTTGTTTACTAATTTATTTCTTTAGTGCGACGGGTATGTTGTTTATTATGATTAACACAGAGTGCCCTTCTCTCAAGTTACAACTTTAATCTCATAAATTGACAACTTTTTTCAAATAAAATTATGACTTTTTTCCTGAAACTTTAATCTTGTAATTTTTTATTTATTTTTTAAAATTTACAACGAGTCCCTAACACTCAGGTGTAGCTCATTTTGTGTTCATATGAAATGAAAGGGGCGCATCTGTTTTTGCACATTTAACACCGGACGTTTCCTCATATTCTCATACATTCAAAACTCGACTGATCCAAGTTCTCTGATGCTGCACATTATCAGTACACAGAGAAGCTGAACCTGGAGAAGCTGAAGTCCAAGGATCTGCCGTGTCCCTACATGTCAGTGGCACCGACTCTCTTCACTTTCATTTTTAACTCAACAGTGGTGCAGTTGCAGGTGTGTGAAGGTGTTTTAGTGGAGGTCAATATTTTTGGCTTAAAAGTATAAACTACCCTTCATGGTGTCTTAATGTCTGTGTACCTGTACAGATGGACAATCCTACTGAAGGAGAGCTGTGGAGGGGTTACCTTCTGACCATGACAGAGGTAAAAACACTCCACCCATGTATTACCGTCTCTCCACTGTAGCAACGTGTAGTTTAAAAGCCTCTGACCAAGAATTAAGTATTTGTTACCAGAATTTTTCATAAACAGTATAAATACATTCTGTAGATCTAACTAATTCAAAGCATGTTCTTAAAGATCTCTCTGTCTCTGTCGTCTATTCTTCTATTTCACATTTTTATTGTTTAATGTTTGTAATCATAGTGTTTCTGTGTGGAAATATATACCAGTAAGAATTGTCTTGAAATCAGCTGCTTAAGAGTTAGCTTAGCATAGCATAGCTCAGAGTAGAGTGGACTTAATTGTCACTCCAAGAACAAGTGGTATACAAGTCTGTCAAAAAGTACGCTTCTGGTTGTAAACAACTTAAATAAACAAACAATATGTTATCTCTCCTCCACACCACCACACACGTACACAAAAAATCAGAGGAGGTTAATAAAACCTTTGTTTTCATGAAGGCACCATGGCTATAATGCTAATGCTAACGCTAAACCTCAAACATTACTGTAAATGTCTTCATCCTGCCTTAGCTGAAGCCTCTAAAATATAGTGTATTTGCCTCATTAAAGTCTACTTTTCTTCCCAGTTAGGACAGCCCCTTCTTAAAGTCTGTACCAAGGACATAATGAACAACATTATAATTGAAGACATAACAGGTTTGTTGTCTCTGTCCACTGATTCTCTGCAGAAAAGGATTTCTAGAAAACTTATGCTGTCCCAGTCAGTGTTTATGATGCTAGAGGAAGCCCTGGAACAGGAAAATATAAGATCTTGTCCCATCTCTGCCACGGGGGTCCCACAACAACCACCAAGACCACCCTACCAATCAAATGATTATGAGTATCACCACCTCCACATGCCTCGGTGAGACTGAACCGCCAGTGAACATTTATGTCCTTGTCACTTAAAATGTGTGGTCTTACGTCAGATACAGTCTTTGACATGATTTGAAATGTGTTGATCTTGACTCTAATTTACTGAACTTTAGGTGTTTTCTTAATGTCACACGGAGGGAAGCTGAGAAGATGCTCGAGGTCTGCCCTGAAAATGGTAACCTTATCCTCCGTCCATCAGAGAGCCAAAAAGAGAACTACGCTGTCACCATGAGACTGTCAAAACTACGGTACAAACTGAACTCAGCTGAATCAAACTGATCACATTTAAAGACACACACACATATATATATATATATATATACATATATATATATATATATATATCCATGGTTTTAAATCATTTCAAAACGTTTTGCTTCTTTATTGATACCTGCACACTGACCTGCCTACAAACTGCCTCTTGACATGATTTTTTTGATTAATCGCAGGGCGTCTGTGGATTAGTCACAGTTATTTATGATTATTCTGGATTGTAATTACTAAAAATGAAACATATATAGATTATTTTGGTAAAACTGTATTTAAGGGTTTAAATGAAGCTTTTCTTCTTTCTTCCTCAGTGAACCTGTCATAAAGCACTTCGCAGTGACCCCCAAAGAAACTGGCTATGTCATTGAGCTGGATCCACCTGTGAGTTCTACTGCTCTAAACATGAATTTAGAGTGACTTACAATATATGTATTTACATTCTATGACTTCATTACTTCTAAAGTGCAACTAGCTATGAGCTTTTTTTTTATGGTCTGTAGAAGAAAGTGGCCTGCATACGTGATGTCGTTGACTACTTCTGCCGGGAAACACAATATGAGGCCGAACCTTACGGAACTCCGGTTTATAGCAAGTCGATCAGTGAGACCACCTCTTTTTAATAAATCCAGAAAAGTTTATACTCCTTCCAAAAATGCTTAATCAATGATTACATTTCTAATTTGTTAATACAGTGGTTTTCTTTTGGTAATTAAAAAGGACTAGGTGTTAATTTTTTAATCTATGACTAAAGGTGGAAGGATCAAACATGTAGCATTTTCAGCAGAGGTTTCCAGAGATTTTTGTGACTCTATGGCTATTTTTGTTAACAATATTATTAAGTGTAGACAGTGACGAACTTTAAATGTTTGCTAAAGTGTCCTGAGAAATGTGTTCCTACAGCTCCTCCTCTTCCTCCTTTTGTTTCCTGTGATACAAATAAAAGCACAAATCATAACTAGAAGGTAGCATCTTCTTTGGGACAATGTTGCTTTGAGGCTTTTACAGATAATAATTATATAATATACTGAAGAGCATATGATATAGACCAGGGATCAATAAGTAGATTGTGATCAAACAAATCTCAACTAAGACTTTACCCACAGAACCTAAGACTTCAACCACAGCACCTAAGACTTCACCTAAACCAAAAATAGCTTCGATGCAGCAGCAGGAGCCACAGTTCCATAGATTCAATCCAATCAGATGTGTGGACCTGTCAACTGATGATGAGAAAAAGCTGCGTGAGTGTGTCTATGATAGTACTAACATCCAAAGTCTCTGTTGGTTAAAACTACATGTACCTACTCATACTTTTTGTACCACTGTCCAAACTAGGCTCAAGGAACGATGAACTTGCGGACATTTTAAGAGCACGGAATAAAAACACAGATCGTACAGTCACAGATGAAAATGGATATATATCCTGTACCTACTCATACTTTTTGTACCACTGTCCAAACTAGGCTCAGTGAACGATGAACTTGCGGACGTTTTAAGAGCACGGAATAAAAACATCACAGATTAAAACAGATATGGATCCTTCCTGTGAAGAACCGATCAACAATCACAGGTACGTTCACAGTCTGACCCTGGAGCCACTTATTGAATCTATCTTCTCAGCCGTTGTGTTGCTTTAAAATTTTGTGAGTAGACCGTAAAAACTCTCCGATGTTTTGTTACGTGTTGTCAAATTTCAATATTTCCTATTTACATATTTTTTTCCTTGTGTCATAGGAAAATCTGGAATATTTTGATTTGAGATTTTTGCACCTACTGACACTGAAGAATGGGTTTGGTCTGATTTGCAGTTTTGACAAAAATTCTTTCACAAGTATACTCCAAAATACTCGAATGCTTCAACAACCAGTTCATGTTTTTTGTACATTTCTTCTTAATGATTTCATGACAAAAGAATTTAACAATTATCTATGTTGACTGTAATTCTTTATTTTCCCACACATAGAAATTAGCCAACGTGAACATTTTATAATCATAGTTCCATATGTTACTCCATTGAGATGGTACTTTTATTTTATTTTTTTCATCAACATCACAGATCATGTCATTGTAGATTTAAAATGTAAAGTTCATTCATCACTCAGTAAAGACAGCAAGACTGTGAAAAAGAGTCAATAAAATAAAGCAAAAACAAAAAAAAACTCCCTTTTGTCCCTTTTTACCACTTCACTCCCTCACACCGTAGCAGCCTTTATATATGAAAGACAAAAAATACCCATAATAACTTAATGTCAAGATTAAAAAAAAAAAGTCAAACTGAATAAGTTAAGAAGATTGTTCTGTTGTGAAAATCTTCGTCCATTTCTGCAGCTCCTGTATATGCTGCCACTGCCAGTCCTGTGTATTACGGCATGTTCTTCAGCATCGTGTTGTTTCTGATCATTTTGAGATTTTCCATATCTGGTTACAGATAGTTACAGTTAGTTCACCACTGTTGAGGCCTAACTGAACTGTATGATATCATACTGACCAACCACACATTGTCACCACACAAACTGCTGCTTGAGGCTGTGTAGATTGGTTCAGTGGTGATGATGTCACTGAAGATCTCTCACTTGAACATGATGAAGACCACATGGCAGCCTGGGATGAGAAGAAAATGTTGTGATGTTGTGTCACGTCTGTCTAGTCTTGGTGTACCTTTAACCCAAAATGAAAATGTGGGTCACTCATTCACTTGGTCTAGTGCGAAACATGTGATCGTACTGTAACATTTCATTTTTAGCGCAATTATCAGAGTTAACTTTTTCTTTTCATTTCTGTATTGTTTCAAAACATTTTATGGTCAGATTTGAAACACTTTTTCTTTTTCTTTGTTTTTAATTTCGCTGACTCAAAGTTAGTTATGACCAAAGTCTGTCCCTTGAACAGGTTTAATCCGACTCTTGTGGAATGCTGTAGGAGTAGATTTATTTTAAAGGTTTATCACCATTATTTTATAAGCCTGGTGATTGTAAAATGTCATTAACCTGTGTTGCAACACTTTTATATGGCCTACACTAGTCAACAATAATCAAGCCAACTAAATAACCCCATTTAGCAAACAGGCACTGAGCCATGTAAGGCATAGACAAAGGTAAATGTGTTGCCGTCCAGATGTGTGAGGTTAAGAAAAACCTGACACTGGAACCCCAGGGTTCACCTCTTGCCCAGGAGGTGAACCCTGGGGTTCCACACCAATGAGATATTGGCTCTGGGCCAAAGCGCCACCGAACCCTTTGTTTATTTTACTATTTAACTGAACAGGAAGTCACACCCATGTTACGTTTTTATGTCTTTAATTCACCTGATATGACGTCCCCAGAAAAACAACTCTAACCCTGACCTTAATTGATCTTTACACTTGATTTAATCACTTTATTCTCATTAAAGTTCATCTGTTTCTACCATCAACATCTACAGCAGTATTTGTCTCCATGGAGGGTGATTTGGGTGAAAACACTTAAAACCTAAAAAAGCTAAACTTCACTCCTGAGGCTTTACAGTTTTATATATTTATTTGCTTTTATGAGACTGTCCACCAAGAATAGCTCCATAAACCTGTGTGTTTCCCCTGTTTAAATGTTCAAAGTGCAACGGAATGTGTTTTAGGAACAGCACTAACATATGATAAAGATGCATATCTGATAAAGACACAGCAGCATTGAACTCTTGATATACCAGCAGTGACGCATGAACAGGAGAGTAACTGATGTGAAACGGAATCAAACCAGTACAGAGGACACACAGTGTTGGACCATGGCCTGCAAAGATGTCTACAAGAGAAAGACAAAAATTGCAGTGGAGCCTTAGTAGCATTCTGGACAACTTCTGGTAAAAAATGGTAATAATGGGGTGAGTATGAAAAGAGGACAACATTTCACTGGGAGTGAGACAGAAAAAGTTTAATAAATGAAGATAAATATATAGCTTCATAATTCCTCCTGAACTGTGATGTGGGTTATTGAAAAAAGAGTGATATAGAGGCTTTGTAAGGTTGTTTTTTTTTTTTGCCAAAATCTAAATTTTTCATTTGTTGTCTTTACAGATTTTTTTTTATCAATATTTCACCTTCTCTGCTTATTTTATACATTTATTTTGTTTTATCCTTAAGAAGTTTAAGCCCTACTTTGGAAATACACTGTTCCTGTACAAACACAAGACTCAGGAAAATGTGAAATTAAACACTGTTCACTTTGGTGATGGGTTAAAAGCAGATGTCACATGTTGTTGTGTGCAGTGGTGTGCTGTGTCACAGTGACAAGGAGTTCACTTTCACTTTATTCATTTATTTTCTTAGTGCTTTTTTCTCAAGTTACGGCTTTAATCTCATAAATTCCCAATTTATTTTCACAATCAATTAATCTGGATTGTAATCACTAAAAATGAAACATATGTAATTTTGTTTTAAATTCAAACTGTATTTAAGGGTTTAAATGAAGCTCCTCTTCTTTCCTTCTCAGTGAACCTGTCGTACAGCATGTCGCAGTGACCCCCAAAGAAACAAGCTATGTCATTAACGTGAATCTAAATGTGAGTAAACATGACTTTAAAGTGACTTTTTTTTTTAAATCTATGTGTTTACATTCTGTGACTTCATTCATTCAAGTGCAACTAGCTATGAGCTGGAAATTGTTTTTGTTTGTTTTTTTCTACGGTCTATAGAAGAAAGAGACCCATATACATGTTGCCGTTAAGCACATCTGGCAGGAAATACATTATGAGGCCAAACCTGACGGAACTTCACTTTACAGTAAGTCGATCAGGGAGTACACTTATTTTTAATAAATCCAGAAAAGTTTATA